TCGCTATTACCCACGACGTCGGCGGCGTCCCGTCGGTCTTTTAATTTAATGTGACCTTTGCGGACATTTTTTAGATCATTTAAAGAGAAAACATTCTTTATATTTTTTGGGTATCTCCTAAGTCTTTCTCCGATAAATGGCCAAACTAACACAAAAATAATTGTTCAATTCGAACCAGTAGTCCCTAAGATTAGCGCGTTCAAACAATCCTTTCAGCTTTATAATATTAGTATAGATAAATATTTTGCTCGGTTGATGATAGTTTTACAGATATGCGAATGTTATGAGACCAACAGTTTGAAGTGAAAAACAAAACGATACGTGTAATCCAAATCTGCCAATCGGAAGCATGTTAAATAAAGTCACGTAGTAAATAATAAAATAAATGTATTTATTTTCCTCAACCAAGACCTAAAAGGTTTTGCCAGCCCTAATAATATAAACAAATGTCAGTGCTGCCAGCCCTGTTAAGCGTTGTTTAGCAAATAGCTTTCTCGGGTTGGGTGCGGTTAAGGCAATATGCGGCCTTAGGGAAACTATCCTTGCTCTAATAAAGCTTATATGTGTGTGTTACATCAAAAAGAGACGAACCTCTTTGGGATTGTTTTCAATGTTTTAACATAAAACTAACTTAAATTACTTAACTTATTCGTTGTGTTACTTTACAAGGTTATACAGCTGAATGTAGGATGTATTATATAAATCTTTTGTTTAAAACAAGTATGGTACTTTTGATTTGGAAGTTATTAATGGGATATAGAAAAGTTTTATTTAAATTTTTTGTAAATTTTTAGATTCATGACCTACACTTTTACTTTAATTTTGTTTTTTTCGTTTACTTAGTACATAGCTCATTGGTTAACCTTGCGTTAGGGTATTTCATGTTAGAATCCTGGGAAAACGATAAATGGTTTCGGTCAGACAGGGCAGAAGTCTGATCAAATTATTGCCTATTAATAAAATATATAAATAAAACCAATACATAAATTTGTTTAAATACACCATATCTTAAAAAAGTGAAGTAAGGAAATTTAAAATATGTGAGTTATATCACGTTATTGGTTTTATAGTATATATAACAATTACATTTAAATAATACACCTTAAAACCCGATTAAAAATTAAAACTTTTTTAAACTATTGTCACTACATCTTCCCGTGACCAGGGCTGTTGTTAAGCATCCGAAAGATCGGGTCGTAGTTAGAAGAATTTCCAAATAAGGTTAACTAATATAATCGCGTTTAAAACCGTTAAAGAATGTACTACTCGCGTAAACTACAGGCAGTATTAAAAAAAAACGATAATATTTCATTTTTCAGTACAATTTATTACAGCCTCCAAATTCAGAGCGAAACCACTCCAAAAATTGTAAAGTACAGTTTTCCTCTTTAAAAATCCATAAAATAAAAGTTAATTTTAATGAATGGAACGTATACGAAAATCCTCGGCAATTTTAAATAAACTGCATTCAACTATGCTCATACGAAATAACCGGGAAATATGATTCGGTTCGTTGATCGCTCAAATGTGTATGCCAAAATGATAATCTTTATGGAACATAATATGCACTGATTGTGTCTGTGGCGTTTTTCAATTTATTCAGTAATATAACGAAAAAAGTAATACTAATTTAACCATCGCCTCCTTAACCATTTAAAACGCGAAATATATCAGTTATTTACATTTGAAAGACTGCTATGCAGGAGCCGTGATCATGAACTGGAGATGAAAGAGGTTTTTAATGTCAATGTCAAATATGCAACTCTAGCGCCTAGCATTAAGTCAACTAATATATCTCGCGTTTGAAGCCGTTAAAAGTGATTTATTTAAATGTGTCCTAGCGTAAATTATGGGCAATACTTATACAATAATAATAAACGTTATAAATACTATAAAAATATAGGCTTACTACTGTTTTTTTTTAAATCAAAAATAATATGACGCAGGTTAGACGAGTTTTTGGTTAGTTTAAGTATGCGATGTTCCGAGTTCCGTAGGGTTGATCTCCCAACCATAGGAACTGATACTGATACTACTAGAATAACGGATTCTGCATATAAAAACTTTTATTAAATTAATCTGGAACCATACTTCTTAAATTCATACACTAACGGACATAAATATGTAACATCCAATCGCCACCGAAAATGTATTCTAAAGAATTAAAATGTAATCAATCACACAAACATTCTATGTAAGCGAAAAGCAATTTCTTAAAACCATTCACATTATTCCGTTGTTCATTCTTACTTCGGGTACACAAAATACTTATAATGAGGACCTCGCTAAGATCTCTCCGCTGTCTTCCGAGGGAAATTGTATCGTACAATAATTTTTCATCTTTGCAGTTTTATTATAACAATTAACTTGACAACATTATTTCCAGATGTTGACGAACTCGTTGGTAAAATGATTGCAATGTATGGCTTATAATCAACGGGCCGTGGCATCGATCCCTACCTGGTCCAACATGTTTTTAATCAATTTATATGTTTTCTGAAACGTGTCAGACGAAGTCCAGTCTGGAAATCTGGATTTCATCCGGGTTACAAATCATCGTCTATAGATAAAAAACCGGTGAAGTTTAATAGCGTCAGCCTGTGGATTTGCGAATATCCAAGCCAAAATAGGTTGACAGTGATGTTTAGATGATATATGGCTGCGGTAGTTCAACTACAATCATTGTCTCTTGTTTATATACCTAATTATTTTACTGTATATTTGGAAGTTCATCCATCAAACGTTGTTTAGTTTTTTGTAATAGTGGACACGGGAAGTGTTATGTAAATCATTGGGAAATGGAATTCGTTGATATTGTACTGATTACCCGTCCTGCCAAGGATTTAAGATAAATTAAATTGAAATTTTGTTTTTTTTATATCTTATACCAATACTAATATTAATATTAATATACATATACAATGAAAAATAAAACTATTACAAATGAGAGATACATTATCTTAATGATAGGCTAGATAGCAAGCTAAGACGATGCTAATGAATCTTGTATATTTTTAATGCTCTGAAAAGTTTTTATCTCGCAAAGGACTTAAAGGTCCAGTTTTAAATGTAAATTTAGAGTGGCTCCGCCTTTCCCGAGGCTTTTATCCAGAGCCGAAAGTTTTTATTGAATTCAAAATACTTGCGGAGGTGAAAATTTTCAACCTACAAAATGACGGCAGAATAAAAATACAATCGATTTTCTCGTTTTGTAAAGATCACATGCATCGAAAAATGGTTGCTGAATTTAAGAATCGCAATTCGTATAGTGTCCAATATGTGATGAACTTTTAAAAAGCGTTTGGCACATAAAGAGAAAAGAGTTTTTTGTTGAATTGTCTGAATTTTATCACTTTTTTAGTTGAGGTCGCTAAAGGCAGAGTAGCGTAACTGCAAATGTATGACTTGACTTATTACATATATTGTTATAGTCTGAAAATCTTAATATACAGTGACCGAAAACTGTTAACATAATGTTTAGACAAATAATAGAACAAATTCATTATCGCCTTAGTTAATTGCGCATTTTTATTTTCCTCTTATTGAAAATCATGTTTTTTGTTATTAGGCCACTCTGCCCCAAGCAGCCTCAAATATATTTTAGTGTAAAATTACACCGTAGCGTTTCGTTTTAAATACTTACATTTCGGTTTCTGTAAACATAACGGAAACGGAATTCCAAGGGTAATTGTTTAAAATAACATATAGGTATATGTTTACTACAGTGAAGTCATTTTAATAAGTCACATTCTACAATTCATCAAAATTCAACGACGTCATCTTGTTACTGCGGACATAAAATTATATTAAGATACGATTTTTTAATAAATAAACTATTTAAATATAGTTCGAACCAGTATTTCTACTGGATTAGCGGGTTATATAATCACACTCTTCAGTTTACAGTAGAAACTATATACACAACTGTAACGCGTGCTGTAACGCATTATGTCACTAATTCGTTTCCTCTCCCCTACTACCGGAATCTCTCTTAAATTCTTAAAATTTTCCTATCCTTTTTAAGGAAACAGCTGGATTACGCCTGACAAATTGAATCTAACAATGAAATGTCGCGAATTAATTAATAAAAGGCTTTTGTCGCAGTGATTAAGGTCTGTCAAATGAAACGTTTCAGTGAATTCTAATGAATTTGACTCTTTTCAGCTTTGATTAGAATATAGATGAGATTTTATTAATGTATAGCTATAATAATATAGACGCAGTTATCGTGTTCCATGTAAAAATAATTAAAATTAATTAAAAAATCAATAATAATAAACATTCAGCGTTTCAAAATATGGAATAATAGGTTGATAAATTAAACAAGGATTGAGATAGATATTTGAGATTTAATATAACTTGAGGATTTACAATAATAATTAGTATTGACACGTATTGCACACTCTAAAAGAAGGAATCAACAGAATGACATATATGTCAACGTAACGACAGGTAATCAAACGTCAATCTGTGGAACACATTAAAGGCGCCAAATTTGAAACATGTAACACTTCCTCTAAATTTAAGCCTTGTTCTACAAACATTGACAAAAATTAAACATGAAGCAATTATTATATAAACACAGTATTACATTTATCTAACACATATTAACAAACATTCTTTAAGTAATATCTTATACAGTTTGAAAAACAAAATTATAAAATATAAGAATTCTTAGTTTGTATTTTCTTTTGGATTCTCAATTAAGCCTAGTTTTATTTCTAAAGAACTCAAATTTAACTTTAGATAAAGATTTTGTAAAGATATCAGCTAACTGACTATTAGTATCAATATACTTGAGATCAATTATCTTCTGAGCATACTTTTCTTTTTATAAAATTATATTTGATATCAATATGCTTACATCTCTTGTGATATTCTGAATTTTTAATTAAACAAATAGCACTCTGATTATCAATATTAAGTGTTATACAGTCTTGTTTATATTGACCAATATCTAACAATAATTGTCTGGTTAGACAATTTTCATTTCACAGAATTCAGAGAGCTTCTTTTGTGGCAGAGCAGGATGCCATGAACTCAGCCTCGGTAGTAGATAGCGCAACGGTTGTTTGTCGTTGACTGTTCCATGTTATGGCTGCTCCATTTTTCATGAAGACATATCCTGTGGTCGACCGCCTTGTCACGGGATCATTGGCATAATCTGCATCAGAATAGGATTCCAAAGTGTTATTTTCATTTGACCTGAAACAGAGTCCAAAACTTAATGTTCCTTTTAAATATTTAAATATTTTCTTGACAGCATTCCAATGACTTTGATCATGGCTGTTGAGAAATCGGCTGACAGTGCTCACTGCAAACATTATGTCGGGTCTGGTGACTATGGCAGCAAACATAAGCGATCCTACTGCTTCTCTATAAGGGAAGCATTTTTCATTCTCAAGCACTGTACTTTTCTGTAATGTAACATGCGGATCAGCTGGTATGCTATTAGGATTCACATTATCCAAGTCAAATTTTGATAGCAATTCTTTAATATATTTTCTTTGGTGTATGAATAATATAATCCTTGCATTGTTCTATCTGTATTCCAATAAAATTTGAAGTTTTGCAAATCTTGACATCAAATTCTTTCTGTAAATGATTCAAGACTTCAGTCATAATAGTTGGACTTGTAGAACATAACAATCCATCATCGACATAAAGCAAAAGATATACTTGAGCTTCTCCTTTGGAACTTACATACACACATTTATCGGCATGACTGTTCAAGAAGCCATATTTATTCAAAACTGAATTGAACTTAGCATTCCAGCAGCGTGGTGCTTGTTTCAGTCCATACAAGGATTTAATAAGCTTGCAAGCCATGTTATTTTCAACATCTAGCCCTTCAGGAGGTTTCATGTATATTTCTTCTTGTAATTCACCATGAAGGAAAACAGTTTTAATATCAAATTGCATTATAGCCATGCGTTTCTCAGCTACAATAGACAATAGTAAGCGAATGGAGTCATACCTGACCGTCGGAGAGAATGTTTCAGTGTAATCGATGCCTCTTTTCTGGGCAAAGCCTTTGGCACACAGTCTAGATTTATATCTAGGACCATTTTCTTCATTTTTAACACGAAACACCCACTTACAGTCTAATAGCCTCACATTGTCTGGTTTCTTCACTAGCTCCCAAGTGCCATTGTCCTCATGTGCCTTCAATTCTTTTTTAATTGACTTAATCCACAATTCAGAGTCTTCAGAGGAAAGTGCATCTTCATATGTCTGTGGTACATTGGCCATACATAGATAAGACTTAGGTTCTACCGTTGGATTTGGTCTGTTACGTGGACGGAGAGTGATGTTTGAGGTCAGTGGCGTTCCAATTGACTGCTCAGGCACATATTCCTCATCACTATCATCACATGTTTCCACTGCGGTGTGAGTAGACATATCCATACTACAATCACTGCTTTCAGATAGGCTATTACTACTTACTTGTTGTTGTTGTTGTTTCTCAGTGTCAGATAATGTAACTGGTATTGTATCTGTTTTGATAGAATTTTCTAAAAAACACTACATCTCTGCTTTTGGTTACTGTCTTTGTTTTAGGATCAAGTAATCTGTACCCTTTACTATCTTCACAATATCCAACAAAAATCATCTTACATGACTTGGAGTCCCATTTTTTTAATTTTTCCTTAGGTATATGCATCATAGCTTCACAACCAAATATCCTCATATGACTCAAGTTGGGTTTACGTCCACTCCATACTTCCTCTGGTGTCTTATAGTTCAGTGCTCGCGTTGGTGTACGGTTGGTAATGTATGCAGCAGTTCTGATCGCTTCAGCCCATAGAGATTTCTGCAAATTAGCATTTATTAACATACATCTGGCTTTTTCGAGCAATGTCCTATTCATTCTTTCTGAGAGACCATTTTGCTGTGGAGTATAGGGTGTAGATGTCTGGTGATTAATTCCATGTAACTTTAAATAATTAGTAAAGTTCTTATTTAAGTACTCAGTTCCATTATCAGTTCGAAGTGTCTTGATCTTTGTATCAAGTTTATTTTCAGCATAAGACTTATATTCCTTAAATTTATCTAGACATTCTGACTTTGATTTTATAGTAAAGACACACACTTTTCTAGAGAAATCATCTGTAAAAGTGAGAAAGTACCTTGCATTTCCGAGGGAATTTACCTCCATAGGTCCACATATGTCGGAGTGAATGATTTCTAGCAGTTGATTTGCTCTGGAACCTTCACATGGAAATGGTGACCTTGCCTGTTTCCCTTCAATGCACGACACGCAGGTCAGTTCACTGTTCTGAGGTATTTTCACACCATCAGTGTGATCTTTCAGCTTCTTCATGTCATTGTAGTTCAGATGACCCAGTCTCTGATGCCAAAGATAAAAATCATCATTAATGGTTGATGAAAATGCTTGAACTGAGACAACGTTCAGCTTGTACATATTATTAACAAGTGTTGCCATTGCTACTTCAACATTATCTTTGTTATATAGATAACAACCTTTACTGTCAAACTTTATATTACCTTTATTATTGATGATGTTACTAACTGAGAGAAGATTGGTTGATAACTCAGGTACATAAAGGACATTTTTTACCTGTATACTGTTTGTAGATCCATTCTTATTTTTTACATGAATGTTCACCTTACCACAGGACTCAACTCGCAGTTCTTTGTTGTTGGCTACTCGGATGGTCTTGATAGGTGGTTGAATTTCATCATAAATCCAATCCTTATTCATAGTCATATGCATCCCCGCACCTGTATCCACATACCACCCGGAACTGTTGTTGTTTATGGCTGAAAAAACACCTACAAAAGAGTTATCAATTTGCTTCTTGTTGTTTTTCACTTTACAGTGTTTGGCTATATGTCCATGGTTGTTACATGAATAAGATCTTGGCCCTTTTGTTTGTTTATTCTGTTTGGACAGTTGCTTGTTATTATTGCTCTTGTTTACAAAGAATACACTTGGATCACGATTTTTGACTTCCTGTAACAGTTTACTTTTGATTGAGTCTGCTGTTATAGCGACACCGGAGCTTTCTATAGCCATAATCATAGGCTTATATTCATCTGGGAGTCCCGCAAGTAACAACGTGCCTAGCCACTCGTCGTCGACCTTGAACCCAATGTTCCGAAGCTTGTGCGCTGTGGTCATAATTTTGTTTACGTATTCTTCAATACTTTGACAATTTTCAAGTGTTGTCGTTATGAGATCTCGTAGTAATCCAACTCGACGTGTTAAGCCGGAGTCATCAAATGCTTTACAGAGCTTTTCCCATACTTCCTTGGCACTACTGGCATCCTGAACGTGGACGTAATTAATGGGATCCACTAAAAGTATTATTTTTGACTTTGCCTTGATGTCTTTCTTTGGATTTACCTCGTCGGTGCCTGATACGCATTCCCACAAATCCTCATGCTCTAAATACGTCTTGACTGCAAACTTCCAGCTTGCAAAATTATCACGGCCGGTCAATCTTTCAATCAGGGTCATATTGTTAATTGATCCCATGATTTTCTTGAAAAAATCGATGTGCCGCCGGTTTGCAAAGTTAGGTTATATTATGCAATTTCAAAACTCAATTTCAAAACTAATCACTGAATCTATTAATCCTTTTACTATTAAGGCATCCTGGGCCCATAACCTGATAAATTAAACAAGGATTGAGATAGATATTTGAGATTTAATATAACTTGAGGATTTACAATAATAATTAGTATTGACACGTATTGCACACTCTAAAAGAAGGAATCAACAGAATGACATATATGTCAACGTAACGACAGGTAATCAAACGTCAATCTGTGGAACACATTAAAGGCGCCAAATTTGAAACATGTAACATAGGTACTGTGCATTTAAATAAAACACTTTAACGGTTTAAAACGCGATATATTAGTTAAACTTTTTGAAAATGATTTTTAACTTTGCCCCGACGTTTCGGATGCTTTGCAGCAGCCGTGGTCATGGGGGTCATTTTCTATCAGTTTAACTAATATATCGCGTTGTAAACCGTTAAAGTGTTTTATTTAAATGTGTACTACTCGCGTAACCTATAGACAGTATTTCGGTATTTTGTAATTAAAATTAATTTACTATGTTTGAAATTTAAAATCTATATTAACCTTTAATTTGGAAAGCCGGCGGACCCGTTTGATGGCTTCTTGGTCGAATGGTTTCAATGTGTGGCTAAGATCAACGGGTAGTTCGATCCCCACTGGATTCAACATGGTTCGACAGCGCCACGTGGATGTTATATGCCTGGAATATTTTGCTTCCCATCACGTGATAAATGCTCTGTCTCTCCACCTCGATCATTAAAAAAACCTTATATGCTTGATCATTTAATTTTTTCTATGAAGGAAACGTCTTCTTTGATATTATGTAGACTTATAAGTAAATTATAATGTTACAGGTCTCCCAGAAGCTAGCCAGATGAAGTCTATGGCTCCCACATCTCGAGGTTGACAAGATGAAACCGGCTGCTCTGCTGATATTCAGCTCGCTGCTCACCAGAACGTTATGTGTCATAGCGCCTCAAGTGTCAGGTAATTGTGTTTCTGTAACAGTGTTTCTGTAAGCTACTTGCATTTTTTTAAATTGACTATAGACCTATGATGAAGGTTCCTATTATCCTAAGCTCGCGTTCACTTTACAAAGGTGACATATATACTAAAATGGCGGTTGTTGTGTTACGGAATATCTTGCTTGCAAAAAAATGGCTTGCTACTCTAATATCTTTGTTTATTAAGCGAAATGTAAAGAGATTTCCAATTCTCAGAATTTCGAACAGTTCGCAAGATTATAAGATATTAATTAAGTTATTGAAGTATTTAAACCGATTCCATTTTCGTAATCAAAACAACAATACACAATAATACTTAACGAGGGCACTTGTCGAAAATTGCCTTGTCTGATATGAAGCGAATACTTATCTTCAACAAATATTAAGACGTTTCAGAATATTTACAAAATAGCCGGGTAACTTTAAACATTCCGCGTAAGGGCATTTATACGCAAGTGTGTATTATATAATATAATATATTTTGGGCATGATATTATTTTTATTTGCACACAACCTGCTCAGCTTTAAAAGTTATACCTTCCTCGATAAATCGTCTATCCAACGCAAATATATTTTTTTATTAGAACTATAATTTGCGACATTAGCGCAATCAAACAAACAAACTCTTCAGATTTATAATATTAGTATATATAAGAATAAAAAATAGATCGCGTTAGCGTAGAAGTTGACATAAGTATCTTTTTTTACGTTGTTTGTGATTTACGCGAGTGGTATATGTTTAAATAAAACACGAAATATATTAGTTTAAATATTTACATTTATTTTAAATGCGGCCCGACGATTCGAATGTTTGTCAGCAGCCGTGGTTCCCCCGTGACCGTAATATTATACGTTTAAAACCGTTGAAAATGTTCTATGTTAATATTTACCTTAAACATACCATTGGCAAATATATTTATAATTCGAAACTTAATAAACGGATGTTTAAATGTAAGTAACATGTTATATGAAGAGCGGCTTAGTCGTTCATATCCATCCTTACTTGACAATAAAATCCTAAAACGCCTCTTCCTCTTTAATATCAGTTCATATTGTCTTTTGCAAATATCTTGCGACTGTCGTTTGTTAGAATTTCAGTTTGGAAGCTCCAATTTGGCTGTTAGTTACAATTTGGTATAATATTGTTGAGGTTTAAAACCTTTTGTGTTGTAACTTTCATATCAAGTGTAATTGTAATTGCTTTTCTTTTGTTAAGGAATGAATTGAATAGGGAAGAACACGATTGCATAAGGGTTCGGGAAAATTTGCCCTAAATCACTTACACAAGTTACAGCGTAGGCAATAGAGATGTGTCGACTGAGATCCTATCCGAACCGAACCATAACATTCGGTTAAAAAAAAAAAACTTTTCGCTGAATAACTATATCTAACCATAGAGTTGTGGAGAATATCAGTATCTGCTTAAAAGATAATTTCCTGTCATTAAGAATTTAAATAATTGTTACAATTTCCTCCAATTGTAACAATATATAAGTAATAATTAACGGTTCCATTCGAATTCTACCGAGATTGATGCTTGGAAATCATTTAACAAATGAACAATTTGTTAAATGATTTAAATGATAAACAAATGAAATAATTTTTAACCTCGGCCCGACGTTTCGGATGCTTTGTAGCAGCCGTGGTCACGGGGAGACATTAATTTAAATAATTTAACTAAATAATATGTGTGGCTCAATTAAAACGCTTTAACGGTTAAAAACGTGATATATACTAGTTAAAATTATTTGAAAATTATTTTAACTACGGCCCGACCTTTCGGATGCTTTGCAACAGACATGGTCGCATTATAAACCGTTAAAGTGTTTTATTTAACTTAAATACTAAAAATGGTTTATAAAAATAATCGATAAATAAAAATACACAATTCGTTTACGAACTGTTTTTCAAAGATGGAGAAATCGTAAAGTGTACCGCGTTTTTTTAACCGAAGCCGAAATTTACTTTCGCTATCGAAATATTCACCCACCCCTACTCGAGGTTCCGTCTATAGAAAATACACGAGTGAGAATAGAAATGAGTTAAACAAATGATCTAAATGCGGGTACTCTAACGCCACCGTATGCGTACATTTCTGTGCGTAGGTTTGAAGTTTTTTCCTATGTACAGATATTGAGAAGAACCGCAGTTTAGTAAATATCACATATTGTTTCAGGGATTATAGATTAATACAAAGCGGTGGATTGTAAAAACATTATTTATTAAATACAGTACACTATTTAAATAAAACACTTTACCGGTTTAAAATGGAGACTGTCTCCCCGTGACCACGGCTCCTGCAAAGCATCCGAAATGTCGGGTCGTATTTAAAATAATTTTCAAATAAGTTTAACTAATGTATATCGCGTTAAAGTATTTTATTTAAATGATTACTACTCGCGTAAATTACAGACAGTAGCTCTATTGTTTTTTATATATCAAGTATTAAATTAATTATGTTATTGTTATTATGAATTCTTACAATAAGTCACATATATCAATGTATGTTGTTTATTTGTCTTTTAAAGGTCCTGTTTCATTTATATCTTTCAGCCTTTGGCTACAATAAGTTGTAGTAAGCAAAGAGTTCTACAATATATAAAATAAATATTTGAATGTGTAAATACACATTCAAATGAAGATTTATTTAACTACATTAAAGCTTTTCAATTTATTTCATCTTTTATTGAATAAAATACGCAACTCGGTGATGTGACATTTTAATATGTTTTTCTACGATACAGTATAATATCATCGTATATAACATAAATGAGTTTTTAAATATTTAGTATATTTAAAAACTCCTAGTAACTCGTAGTCAGTAATACTTAAATACTGTCTATATTTTACGCGAGTCAAAACGCGACATATTAGTTCAATTTATTTGAAAATGATTTTTAACTTCGGCCCGACGTTTCGGATGCTTTGCAGCAGCCGTGGTCACAGGGAGACAAGTCAAATAACCTAATACATTCGGATAATCATTTTCAAATAAGTTTAACTAATATATCGCGTTTTAAACCCTTAAAGTGTTTTATTTAAGTGATTAGACGTTATTTGACACCGTAAAGACCGAGCGCATTGCCGTGTGCAAACTGTATTGTAACAACATATTATTTTCTAAACGAATTTGGATGCCCAAAAGAATATTTATTTTGGGCATCCAAATTCGTTTTTGCAAACCCCCGTAATCTTTATAAACTCAAGCCGTTACCAACGACGTCGTTCGCGTCCCTTCCCGTCGTTCTTACGAGTTATTTTAAAAGATCATTTGAAGAAAAATCATTATTTCATACTATTTATCTTCAACTTTTTTGCCCGTTGCCTGGGAAACCCATAATGATGAATAATTTTCCCAATTTTTGTCACATTTCTCGCTGCATCTTCGCTCCTATTAGTCACAAGACGATTTTTTAAAGCCTTCCTTCCTCGATAAATTCTTAAACCAACACAAAAATATTTTTTCAATTCGAACCCTTAGTCCCTGAGATTAGCGCGTTCAAACAAATAAACAAACTCTTCAGCTTTATCAATTAGTATAGATTTACCATACTATACTATAGTTTAAAATGAAAGAGAGAAAATAGAGTTTCGCGTGTATGAATTTCCTAAACTCGACCGCTGCGTTAAAAAATTCAAAACATTAATTAGCCAACCCGTAGTATCCGCCGCTTTTCTGCCCAAGTTTATAATTAGATGTCTAACTTCTTGCTTTATAAAGAGGTGAATTAATTATAAGAGCTACTCAAATATCGATTCAGAGGCTTTCCTAGAATATTGAGTTGAGTCTTATGTTATTTAGCGAGGCATCTCTCGCAGCCTCTATTCTCGTAACAGCTACGAAGTTTGCCGCGAAATGTAACGACAGTATTATTGTCTATCTTAATATTATAAAGCGTTTATTTGTTTGTTGGAATGCGCTAATCTTAGGAACTACTGGTTCACAGTGAAAAAAATGTTTTAGTTAGAGAATTTATCGAGGTAGGTTTAAGCCTAAAGCGAAGGACAGCCCGAAAGACAATGATATGCTGAACGATGGCCGTGAAAGCCTTACACAATTTATTTTGTAAATATATAATTTTTATCTTTGCGTTATTTGTTAGTATTTTAAACGTAAAGAATATGCCATATATACAATAACAACTCGTCAAGGTAAGTAATGTAGGTAAAAGTCTTTTCAATTGTAACAGATTGATATATATTTTTTAATAATTATCAGTTGTTAGACTTGTCTTTATTAAAAAAAAAACAGCTTATAATAAAATCGGTCTTATAACCAGCATTTCAAGCTAATCTATTAATATAGTATTTTTAAAGGCACATCGTATGAAAGGGTTTACCACTTCATTACATAACGCATTACGTTCTCTGTTTTTTAACTTTTAAATTTCAATATTCTCCTCATACATATAAGTGAGACAGTTTCTGTGTAAATTGTTAAGCCTGAGAGGATCTGGTTCCAAATCCAGGAAAAACAAACGATTCTTTCGGTCAGGCAGGGCAAAGTTGATTTACCTGTAAAAGCCGAACAGTGAAACATGCCCCATGAGGGGAAATGGGAGTTCACTATACGTACAAGTAAAATAAACAGAATTTGAATTGTTTCAGATTTAAAAACCGGTGACAAAATAATCAACAGTCCATTCTGGCACGAAGTGTTTACGGAGACGTATGAATACCCCGAAGAAGATATATCTACGACTACATCAGAACCGCTTCCGTTCTTCGAAGATGACGCGTCAACGAATAATGTGACAGCACAGTTGGGTAGTCGAGTTCATTTACATTGCAGAGTACACGATTTAGGGGAGAAAACTGTGAGTACTTGACAGTAAGCATTGTGCTGTCTTTGCTTACCTAAATATTTGCATAGATAAGAAGTAGGTTTAAATAAAACACTTTAACAGTTTAAAATGTGATATATTAGTTAAACTTATTTGAACATGATTTTTAACTTCAGCCCGATGTTTCGGATGCTTTGTAGCAGCCGTGGTCACGGGGAGACCAAAATTGTTACATAAAAATCTAAATATATTTTGCGTTTTAAACCGTTCAAGTCTAAAAGTAACTACAAGCTCTACAGTTAAACGAACATAAACGTAATCTAAGCGCGTTTGTCCCTTTTAAAAAACCCATAACTCTCTCATAGATCACCCGTTATGCAAACTCCTTTGAAACCGAAGCTATGCATTAATCCAGTACTAAATTATCACTATAGTCGAGTCATGTAAACATCAACTGCAAGAATAATTACATACAATTCTGGAATACTGCCAACTCAATGGACCATGGAACAGCACAGTAAAGATATTTATTGTAAGGGGGCTTTGTTAGTTCACACGGCTGTTTTTATTCGTTTAAAGAGATCTTGTGAGACTCGGGGCTTCAGTATATATATGTTACATTATAAATAGTTCTATCGTCTACACGCGTATAGTATAACGTTTTCGCGGCCCATTTTTAATACCGACTACATAACATTTAAACACGATGCACTGCCCTCCTATACTTACTAAATACTTTTTGAATATCTATTTTAGCTTTAGGTTCGGAAATCCACCGACTGAAACCGAAGCGCGAACCGCCATTATACTATACGGATTTAATACCCCCCATTTAATATCCACATAAACAGACGAAATCCATGATGTTTCAGAAAAAATATAAACTTATTAAAAACAATTAAATAAAACACTTTAACGGTTTAAAACGCGATATATTATTACTTTCAAAGGGATTTAATAAAAAGACTAGTTCAAATATGACGTAATGAAAATGACAATATTCTAGATTGTTTTTATTGAAGGCAAGCTGGGCTAACGCATTCTATCCCGACGTTTCCCTGTCTCCTCGTGACCACGGCTGCTGCAAAGCATCCGAAACGTCGGGCCGAAATTAAAAATCAATTTCAAATAAGTCTAACTAATATATCGCGTTTTAAACCATTAAAGTGTTTTATTTAAATGTGTACTACACGCGTAAACTATAGACAGTATTTTATTAAAATCATGTACTAAAGACATAAAAAAAATGTTTAATTGAGATAGAATGCGTTAGCCCAGCTTGCCTCCAATAAAAACAATCTAGAATATTGTCATTTTCATTACGTCATATTTGAACTAGTCTTTTTATTAAATCCCTTTGAAAGTCGTGTCCTCAGGACAAGATAATATTAACTGCGCGACAATATTGCGAGAACGCGAAATGAGAAAACTTGTTCGCCTATCATTAAATTTCATATCGTTGTCTCGTTGTATCGTGCAAGTTATTTGCCCGTATATTTTAATAGTGACAGTAACCGCTAATTTTTAACGATAACAATCACTTTAAATGTACAATTTGAAATAAAAATCTAGTACAGATTCCATTCACTCTGGTTATTGCAGATGAAAAATCCCATTTCCCCCATGGAAACCTCATTTCTGTGTCACTGATTTGTTTAACTTACAGTGACTAGTTGTTTAGACTTCTGTGCTCTGTCCGACCGAAAAAATTTATTGTTTCTCCGGGATTCGAACATAGAAAGATATAAGGTTTGCAGCAGTCGTGGGCACATGTGGGTAAATTACGGCAAATACTTTAAAAAAAATCAAACTACCGCACAAACATTTTGCAGATTTTAATCCTGGGGCCAAGTGATACGCAGTGCATTATCCGCCACAAAATGATGTTATTTACATAATTTTTTGCTATTGCGTAAATATTTCTTTGAAATACATTAAAGAAATTTAATAAGAGTTAAAACAATATCTTCATAGATTTCCTGGGTTCGAAGAAAAGGTGAAGATCTGCATCTGCTCTCTTTTGGAAGGCATACATACTCAGCTGACTCCCGTTACTCGTTGGCTTTTGAACAGCCGAATGATTGGCGCCTGCTCATTCAGTATGTGAGCGAAAGGGACGAAGGATACTACGAGTGTCAGATCTCGACACATCCGCCGTTGGTCAGAAGAGTGCATTTAAGTGTTGTCGGTATGTATTTATCAATTTCATATAGTTCATTCAGAATAATTTGTTGTAGCCATACATTGATATCATAAAATTAACGAATTCAACATATTCTTCTTATATAAGAAACTTTTGAGAGTCGATCCAGATTAAGGGGCGGCCAACGGGGTCTTCCGCCCTGTCAAAGTGAAAAATCATTTATTCATGTAGGTAACTATGTACACTTATCAACGTTACAAAATTAAAGAATCTAACTTTATATTTACTACCAGTTCTCAAACCAAGGGCGTAGAACGAACGAGAAGAACTGGTAATAAACTCTGTAATCTGTAATCGGGCTTTCAAAAGAAATTGCGGATTTTTTTTCAAATTCCTACCATTGACCACCATTGAATTTTTCGTTTGATATTTTCGTCTATATCAAACGCTGTTTGGTTATCTATAAAATAATTTTTGAAAAATTTTGCCGTGAAAACTTTTACGGGTCATTTGGCCTTCACTTTGTTGTTACCCTGCTGTCCTAGATTCGTCTTCTTTTCCCTTCAGCGTCACTGATTAGATATACCACCACTGGTAATGTGTTTCTTCTTTTAGCGAAAGAGTTTCTGGAGCAAATCTTTCTCTACCGACTATCTTATTTTAAATTCGTAGTTGGATATAGGCAAAAACTAAACTTCTTTTTTAAATAAATATAACAGTATTTTTTCTATTTATGAAACAATTAGCGAGTGTACATAAAACTAAAAAAAGACTAAATTGATAAAACACGACCCGTTGATTATTAGTCAAATTAACTCGTCAAAGATGTAGTTAATTTAAAAATACACGTATCATAATAGGAGAGTCAGACACTTCCCCATTTTATTTTCAAAATTAAAAATTATTACCTCGTGTAATTAAGCAGACGCCGCGCTCCGACGTTTTCGAGGTATAAACGTTAAAAAGACAAATTAAATATTAACATACTAAAATAAAGTAAGAGCATTAAGGTCGGGTGTGCCCTAATTCAGATAATAAGCTTACTTAGCACGTCATATAATTTTATTAAATAAAGATGTCACTCATTAACTTCAGCACTTACTTTGCTGCCGAGTAGAGTAAGGCACGTTTCATATTGTGCTAAAAGTATCTAAAACTAAGTAAGTAAACTATAGACGGTCAAGATATTCAAAACACACAATAATAAAAATACAGAATGATTCCTCTTTAAATATAAAAAAAAAGATTAACTTGCAAAACGACAGATACGGACTGGACTTGTGGGTAACAGGTATAATCTATAAATATGAGGAAGTTTGCGAGAACAAAATTTGAAGCTTAAAATAATTATTCTACGCTGACGAAGTCGCAAGCACAACAAGTATTATTTAAAAATCGAACTATATTAGCTAACTCTTGCGGACACGCGGGCGTGGAACTATTCAGTCGCAAGAGAAACCTTAAACAATATATACGGTTTTACAATAAAAACTTATCACATATTCACTAACTTAACACTAAATCATTTTAAACTATGACCCGACATTGCGATCAAAGAAAATCCGCATCCTACATTTTTTCACTAGCAAGTTGATAATGTTTCTGTGCTCTAGCCACTGAAATCATTCCGCAGATTCGAACCCAAGACTTCTCGCACTTATCACTTGCCATTTCCCCCAAACATTGCTATACAGCTATACAGACATGTTCCAATTAAACGAATGTACATTCCCCAGCACTGTGGACATACCTTAACGCTATGTTATGAGAAGCAATTATATGCAGTGGGTATGTGAGAGTCGTAAATGCGTCCCAACGAGCCTTTTACTGCCCAGAGACACCCTGTATAAGGTCGTTAAACCCTGAGAATGCCAAGTGGGACTGCGATAAACATTGATTTTCGTTTAACCACACCCGAAAATGATATCAACTTTTCTATTCTCTTATCTTGTTAGGAATACTAAACGAAGGTTTTAAAATTAATTTATAGTTCTAAAAGGGTAAAAAAAATTAGAAGTATTAAGTTAGCGAGCTATTGTAGTGTAACAAGAACTTTACTATGATTATCTTCAGTAGTTTGGATAGTGTGAAGATTTGCAAACATACAAAGAAGAATTCTATAGAAAAATACTGTCTGACTAATATATATCGCGTTTTAAACCGTTTGAGTGTTTTAAACGTGTACCACTCGCGTAAACTACAGGCAGTATTTTATAACGATTTAAGGACACAAATAAATAAAAATTACATGTGTATATATGCGCCAATTAGTATTTTGAGTAATTTTGTTTTATTTATAATGTAAATTTGTATTCAGCATACTAACGAACTGGAAATTAAATACCGTCAATAGTTTACGCGATTAGTACACACTTAAATAAAACATTTTAACGGGTTAAAACGTGATATATTTTCAAACTTACTTCAAAATTAATTGTTGTTGAAACGTGATCTCCCCGTGACCACGACTGCTACGAGACATCCGAAGGCGTCGCAAAAAAAATCCCCAAAAAAAAAAAAACAAACCCCCGGTTTTAACCCCCAACAAGGGGGTTTAAAAAAAAAAAAAAAAAAAAAAATTTTCCCCCCAACCCGAAAGAGAAAAAAGGGGAAAAAAAAAAAAAAAAAAAAAAAAAAAAAAATACTAAATTACTTATATTGGTTTGGTAACTATATCATAAATTAATTTAATTGAGAATAATTTATTTATGAAAACCCAAAATTGAATAGCCAACAATTAATTTAGTTGGGTTAATTAAAGTTGACCATTCATTAGATCGTGTTTATCCACGTCAATAAGCTTATGTCAATTGTTTGTTGTATGGATCCGGAACGGACAAACATATATTTTGTTTTTAATAGAGATGGGAGGAGATATACCCAGCCTATAGCATCTAAAGAAGATGCGCCATCGACCTATTTTGGCTTTGGATGTTCGGAATCCACAGACCGACTGTAGTGCATATTTCAGACATGGTATGAACATTCCTAATACGTAAGTATAAATGAAAAAACGATTTTATTTTTTTTTTTTTTTTTTTTGGGGGTGGCTGTTCCGTGCTGTTACTCTCACCAGTTTGTCAATTTATAATTTACATAGTGCCAACATGTGCAATAAAATTTGAAAGGTATTAAAGTAAGTAAGTCTTTTATTTTTAGCGGTATCGAACCCCCGCACCACTATCGAAAGTAGTGGGTACACACTTTTAAATAAAAGAAGAGCCATTTTCGCCTCATTAGCTGAACATAAAAACGGGTTTTGTTACAAAATTTTAAGCTAAAACCAATATTTGAACAGGTCTGATAGGAGAAATCCCTCCGTTTTTTCTGTGTAAATATTTTGCAAGTATAAAATGTTTTAACAAGCTTCATACAACCAATTTTTGTACATTTATTGCAATATAATGTATCTCCGATATGATTCTACTAATAACCTCCTCTATAGCTAGTAATTTAAGCATCACAACCTGGATACGATTTTCAGGGGAACAAAATATTTTTTGAAAAGCCCCCTTAAAACTTTCGGGGGGGGGTTTTGGTTTTTCCCTCCCCCCATTTCCCCCCCCCCCCCCTTCCCCCCCCTCTTTTTTTTTTTTTTTTTTCCCCCCCCTTTCCCTTTTTTTTTTTTTTTTTTTTTTTTTTTTTTTTTTTTTTTTTTTTTTTTTTAAATTTTTTTTTTTTTTTTTTTTGTTTCCTTTTTTTTTTTTGTTTTTTTTTCCCCCCCCTCTTTTTTTTTTTTTTTTTTTTTTTTTTTTTTTTTTTTTTTTTTTTTTTTTTTTTTTTTTTTTTTTTTTTTTTTTTTTTTTTTTTTTTTTTTTTTTTTTTTTTTTTTTTTTTTTTTTTTTTTTTTTTTTTTTTTTTTGTTTGTTCTCCAATAACTAAATAGATGTCCCGGAAAATCGTTTTTTATGGTACATCAGCCAGTCTCAATTGAAAACACAAATAAACAGGGCAAGACCTCTTCCAATAGTCCCGTTAAAACAATGGAATTCGGTTGAACTGTAAGTGTAATTTACTGCAATGGAATAATAAAGAGGAAATGTGGGTACCAACGAAAATATCATCCGAAAACAATTTGATCGTAATCAACACCTGAACAAATACAATTCGGATAAAAACTCCCGGGTAAAGTCGCCCGGGCTTTAGTTAACCGAGTTCGAACTGTCCCGGATTAGTGCGGAACGATGGGTCAATCACAGTGCGCGTCTTAGTAGGGATTACTTTTTGTTACCCGGTAATATTTGTGAAGCGTGTAATTACATTTGTTACATACAATAGTATTCACGTATACAGTGCATGTCCTTTACATATAAGTAAACTAGCTGTGTCAGCGACTTCGTCCGCGTAGAATAGTTATTTTGGGCATCAGAATTAGGTTTTTCAAACATCTTCATATTTATAAATTTTATTTTGCATGCAAAAGAAAAGTATTTTTTTAAACATTTCTTAAAAATTAAAAATTTCTTACTAATTCTTCGCTTGTATTGGTCGCACCGAGGTCGATGTTTTATAGCCTAAAAGATTCTTAGATAAATGCTCTAACACAAATTTTCAAGAATTTTCCATTCGAACCATTCATGAGATTAGCACATTCAAACAAACACACTCTTCAGCTTTATATGTTAGTATCGATTATTTGTTAACTACGACAATAGCAACCGTAGTTACGGGGGTAAAGATGGTGGACGTTCTTAATGTCAATGTCAAAACTGCTATACTAGCGCCATCTATTTGTATGAAGTTGATATTGAGGCTGTACCGACTCAAAGTAGCTTTAAAATAGATGTCATACTATTACTTAATTACCGTTACAAGAGCAAGTTTTATACATATATATGTAAAATCTTGTTTAATCTGTAACTTTAAAGCAGTGTGCACTGACAGCTGATAAATTTAAGCAAAGCAACATGGGTGAACTTACTTCTATGCTAAATGTAAACATTTTTCCCGAATCGAATCTGAGAAGATTAAAGTTCAGCAATACAACTTATACAAAGATTGTAATAATGATATATGTTGATATATTTTGTTCTAGAGAGACGTCTATAAGATTATATCTATACTTAACTTATATAAAACTGAAGAGTTTGTTTGTTTGAACGCGCTAACTTCAATTTATATATAAAATATTGCCCAGTGACTAATAAAAGCGGAGATACAGCGGGAAATGTGAAACATTTTGGGAAAATTATTCATCAATATAAGTTTCCGAGGCGTCCGCTGCACAAACGGTTCAAGATACCAAAAAATATATATGAGCGATTGTTTCCTGAACGCTATATGTCTCTTTTAATATTACCTTGCATAAACGACGGGAAGGGACGCAACCGACGTCGTCAGCAACAGCTTAACTTTGTAAATGAGCTACAAACAAAATGTAATAAAATATATTTAACTGATAGAATAGACATGGTATTGTTTGTAGGTTGCTAAGATCCCTAGTAATAATATTTAATCTTTGTCTACGTTTTATTAGAATTTCTTTTTCTTTTCTAACTAGCACCAATTAGGTAGGAACTTTATTAAAACTTTGTCGTGTTTTTACTTGAGAAATTAAATAAAAGCGTGTATTAAGTGAACTTCTATTATATAATAAAACGTGTTCATCAAGCCACAGTTTCCAAATGAGTACACTCTTAGTAATCTATAATAATGACACGCCCAGAGTCCATCCCAACTGTTTATATATATCCTGCGGCTCTCTGTAATCCAGCGTTGCGTCGTCTTCAATTACACGTTTATGTCTCACAGTTAAGCTCAGGCTAACCTCACTTGTAAGTCTTGCTTGTATTATATTGTTATCTACGACGATAACATTTTTATCCTACTTGAAAATAAGAGTATTATTCACTTGTTTTTATAGAAATTCGTCCCGCCAGAAAACTGGACAGAATCCTGTTTTTCCTAAATTGAGTATAGGGAAGACCAATTCTATGTATTGTAATTATTTTTATTGCACAGTGCCAAAGGTGGAAATAATAGATGAACGTGGTCAGCCTCTTCAGGACAAGTTCTACAAAGAAGGTTCCATTATAGAGCTTCGATGCATCATCAGTGAAGTTCCTCAACCAGCTAGCCAGGTCAATTGGAAGCATGGGCGTCGGTTACTGAACTACGATACAAAGAGGGGTGGTGTCAGGTAAATATTTTTTTTATCTATAATTTTTGTATATGTAGTACCGTGTGTTAATTAAGCAAGCAATTGTAAATAAAACTGTATTAAAAGTATATTAAATTACCGAATACTTATACTAAATGACAATATGGAGGGCATGCAAGATATGTAATCCTAAATTAAAAATACTAAATCCCAAGAAACAGATATTCGTACCCACATACTTAGTACTTGTTTTAGATAAAAATATTAATATTTTACTCGTGGTGTACTTTATACTTGTGCTATCCTGTGTTGTAGAGGACACATATTTTGGTAATTCGCTTCTATAACACATATTAACAACTTGAAAAAGCAAAATGAAATAAACAATATTAACAAAACAAACATCAATTTTTATTTGCTGATATTAAATCCCTAAGTAGACTAACCGTATTTCGACTAGTCTACTCAGAATCGAACCTTTGGATGTGCATTAATAATATTGTCCTGTTAAACAATATACTCCCGTTTGTAAAAAATTAAACCTGTGTCGATCGTTACATTATTTGAAAGCCAAAATAAATTATGATTCAGTCTCACTTAAATTATTCTGCAAATACAAGTACAAGATAGTAATGTCTCTTTTCATATTAATTAAGCAAAATTTGCAAAACCGAGATAACATTTATTTTCACAACTAACTGAATTAAATAAGTTATGTCGCGCGCAAAGTTTCGTAAAATCACACTTGAAAAATAATTTCTAGACATTCCGCTCCTGCGTGGAAAAACATAGCTTTACATAAATTAACATTTGCAAATTATATTCTTACAACTCGCACTTTCGCGTCATTCATTATTCATTATCCTTTCTCAAATGAAACGTAATAAAAGCGATTTCTCCAGCATTTCACATTTCGCTCAAATTTTTGATATTGTATATAGGCAGCGTAGGTAATTCATTCATTTTCAAATATATGTTTCTCATAAGAGATAAAGTCTTCACTTGATGAAAGGGTTTCAGAATCTAATTGAGATGAGACTTTGGACATTTGAACAGAACCAACCTAGGTACACCTTAACATGACATCAATACTTTTTCATATTTAAATACTAAACATACTTACAGTTTCCAGTCTTTACACTTTGAGTTATTTCAATTTAAAATTATCAAAATACTCCAGATATATCGACAAAAACTCTAAAAACGTTTTATAAAAATTTAAAAAAGTTTATTGGTTTATTAAAATAATTGCTGTAGAATGTATTCCAAGTTTTAATGCAAAATTTTGATACATTCTAATGAAGTTAAAATTGATATAAGCTATAATAAAGACCTTAAAGCGACATCTGTCGTTTCGAAAAAAACTTTTAGAATTCTTTTCAACGTTTAAATGCTAAAGAATCGTTTCTGTATTTTTAGATTCATATAGTGTCCTTATTAACCATTCGTTTTTCTTCCACCATCTGTTAAGTTCGTCCAAGTTTATTTCTGTTAAAATAAGCTGAATTCCTGCAGACAGTTTAGAATATATTAAGCTAAGAGAAACGTTTAAAAACGGTGACTTTGTATTTGTAAAATTCTGTTTAGTCAAGCAATGTAGTTCTGAAACAAATTCTAAAGAACTTTAAACACATCTCAATGTCTGTATTTAAGTTCTTTTGGAATTTGGTATTTTTATTTAAAGAAAGAAAAGAAATAAGATTTGATTGACTGCTTGTGTAGCCATATAGTTAAGCGCGTTGCGTAAAATTGAGTTAAGCACGAGAGATCCTGTGTTCGAATGGCAGTGAAACAATTTGTAAAACAAACGATCAATGAAACGGACACAGAAATGTGACCGCCCCATGCTATTTCAGTTAAAAGAAACAGACGAGCAAAAGTTTACATTTGGGAATGTGAAACATCCCAGCAACAAATTGAGATGTGTTCTCGACCTATTTTCGCTTTGGTCAATCGGAAATGAACGGACTGGACCCGAAACGCTGATTTACATTTCGCGGCTTATCCAGCTGTCGACAGCGGTGGACAAGGGAATTTTTATTTTCTACCTTTCACATATTGTCCAGGTTATTTGAGACTGGGTTTGACGGGGTTTTTTTTTAATTATAAAATGAATTCAAAATATGGTAAACCCGCTGAATATCTAACTTATGACCTTTTCGTTACTATCCTTACATTGCTACCATTGGACCATGGGCGGTAGGGATATCAAAATTCCTTCCCGGTTACGAATGACTACACAGATATTAAAAAGCAGTGATGTTTAACCGCTGGATGGTTTCAGTTTGTAGATTTCCAATTATCCGAATCGCATTAAGCGAAATGAGATTCTATGAAATGTATATGGCTATGGTATTTCACATTTCTTAAAAGAGTAAAGTATCCATTTTGTTAAGAACCTTATTTTTATAATCCTTAATTTTATTTTCATACAGTTTAATATTACTTGAGAGGGGCTGATATGAAAATTTCACTAATTATATCCTGTCGAGATTCATAATATGTTAAAATAAAACACTTTAACGGTTTAAAACGCAATATATATATTAGGTAATTTTTTTTCAAAATTGTCTTAACTACGGCCGTCGGAGACCGTCAGTCTCCCCGTGACCATGGCTCCAAAGCATCCGTTACGTCAGTCTAACTAATATATATCGCGCTTTAAACCGTTAAAATTATTTATTTAAATTTTTACATAATATATGATAAGAATACATCTACTTTAGTTATATGTATATGATTTTATAAGTAATACTCTGATTTCTCGTTCTGAAAAAAAAACCGCTATAATTATCCTGGACTTTTTACAAGGATGCCACGAAGCGTGTAAAAATGTGGCAGAAATCCACTAACCCATTAAATGAGAGGAATGTTTGTAAATACGGTTTCGCTAAAGTAACTAAGAATAGTTGAGGAGAAATCACATTATGGTTTATTTCTTTTGTAAAATAATATGTAAACAGGACATGGAACAATTATTTCTCTTTTTTTAGAATAGTGTCTGTGTCAGCGAATTCGTCTGCGTAGAATAGTTGTTTTGGGCATCATAATTTGTTTTCGCAAACCTGTCTCTTTATCTTTATAAGTTTAAGCTTCTACGCACAATGTCAGTTGTGTCCCATCCTTCTTGCGAGTTAATCTTCAAAGATAGTATTTACATCATAGAAGATTAATTATTTAATACATAATTTTTTGGTATCTTGAACCGTTTTCGCAGCGAACACTATAATTTTCCCTTGTCTCCGCATTTTCCGCTGCTTCTTCGCTCATTACAGTCACAATGGGATGTTATAGCCTTTCTCGATAATTGCTCTAACATAAAAATAATTTTCAATTCTTAAAGATAGTTCCTGAGATTAGCGCTTCAACAAACAAACAAACTCTTAGGCTTTATATATTAGTATAGATATTTTTTAATTGATACAAAATGAGTTGAAGCTTATAGTCATCAATGCAAGTTGAAGTTAAGAAACCTTATTTTATTACAATAGAAACAGAATGCAGACTAGACTCTTTTGTTATAGACATGATTATGTGCTGAACTTTCTAGAACAAAGGTTTACTAGTTCGACTTGTGGATCAATAGTTAAAAATAGACTTCCAGATTTAACCGAAGTTAAAAATAGACTTCCAGATGACCGAAGTTAAAAATCATTTTCAAATAAGTTTAACTAATATATCGCGTTTTAAACCGTTAAAGTGTTTTATTTAAATATATTATACTTTTATTTTTACAATTAGTACTTCTTGTACTTTTTATTAGTTATCATGATTTTCTTTTTCACTTCGAAAGAGATATGGAGAGGACTGATAGAGTCGTTAGTGTCATAGTTGCAATATATGGCAAATAAACAACGAGACGAGAAACAACATTTTTCAAATCAATTTATAATTTTTCTATTTATATGCTACGTATATGTGTTTGTGTAATTTTACAATTATAATTATTTATATTTAATAGCGGATTTACTTGCATTATTTGCCTTTAATTACTATCGTTTTGTGTAACACAATACAACACTGTAAGGCATAAGAGTTTTTAAATAAAATTCACTGTTTATTCCTGAAAGTTAATTAGGATTAACCCCCATTAATCTTGGCAAATTTCAAATAAGGGTTGTTAACACCCCCTAAATTAAATCTCGACCATTCGTGAAGGGTTAAATGCTCTATTGGGGACATTTCACATAAAATGAGACCATTAGCTTTGTCTTTATGACGTCCTACAGTTATTCTGTGAGAGAAATCTGGGGATTTTCTATTTCATATCTGTAATTGTTGAATGTATATCTTGAAAGGCAAAACCAATGCAAAGTTTGCTAACGAACCACAGAAGTATTATTAGAGAAAAAATAATCATAATATATATTGCTTTGTAATATGTATTATGTTTGTAAATATGTAGTGAAGATAACGCACGTAGTGCATTTTCGGATGCTTTGCAGCAGCCGTGGTTACGGGGAGCCTAAAGTTGGATCTCTGACGTCAAAGTAAAAAATTGCTACGCTAGCGCCATCTGTTCCGTCGAAACCTGGCCTTTAAAGTGTTTTATTTTAAGTTTATTTCGGTCCGCTCTTTTGTTTGTGTTACGCAATTTTTTTTGTATGTACTCTATGTTCAAATAATATTGACTTACACTAGTAATAATAGCTAACACATAGCAGAGGTTAAAATTGCAATCTACTCTCGAAAACTAGGTTGAAAATATATTATTTACATTTTAAACTTAATTTAAACAAAAGTATCATTTCAAGGGAAATTCTTTAGTTCATTTATGTTTGAGAACACGCACGCAGTGTTCCGTATTCTATTCAAATATGCAAAGAATTAAAATAGTGGAACTTTTTAGCTTTATAGAGAGAGGAAAATATTTCGTAGTTGAAAATTTAAAACGAATGTGGGTGCGGGTAAATGAAACTCGTGTTTGTTACAGATGTAATGAAAACGTTGAGATATTTTTGTTTGAAGAGCTTTCAGCTTGTTTGTGATCATTGGTACTACCACTAAACCTTAAACCTATTCATAGGTTCTAACCTTGACGGTGGCGAAATATTTGTAAAATCGTGACTTATGTTAAAAGAGACATTTAATATACGGTACAACAAATTTCATCTTAATAGTTAGACAATTTAGAAATATACCTGGTAGTAATCGAAGCCGTGATCGATTGATTGCGCGGTACTAAACTAATGAGCCCAAAATGGGATCAACAGTCTAAGAAGAGACTTAAAATATGTAAATTTGATCAACCCCTTATTGTTTAATTTTATATAAAATTGAATATATATTATATTACATTTTATAGTCATTTAATTTATAATTATAATTAATATATTTTATATAGAAAATCCCTTTGTTATATCGGTTTATGTGATGTTGTATTAAATTATTTATTTAAAAGAAGATGAATGTTAATCTTCTTCTAGATAATTACACGTCTATAATCAATTTTCTTTCATCATTTTTTTTTATTTTTACTATTTTGTTTGTATGTGTTGTAATATTAAAAAAAAAACATTTTTAAACCGTTGTGACGGTTTTCTTCGCATCATATATGACACCAATTTTAATTAATTTAATAGAAGAATAGAAACTTAACTATTAACAACTAATCTATGACAGTTAGTAGTAATAACAATTACGGCTAATATTTTAAAAGAATATATTGTTTTATCAAAATTAATTTCACTTGCCAACTAGCAAGAATTGTCGATTAAATTTACGCCATCAGATTCTACTATGAATGTAGGTGTTACCAATACTCCATACCAATATGGACACTCATTTTCCATTCCTTTGCAGTGTAAAGACAGAAGCGACATCGAATGGGGCATTATCAAGACTGTACATAGCAAACGCAAACAGGAAAGACTCTGGAAACTATACGTGCTCCCTTGCTGACGTCACAGCTTCTGCAGTAGCCGTTCATGTCTTGAGGGGTGGGTATTTGAGGAATTGACAAATGTTTTTGTTCTTCGAGCTGTTCGGTCGACGGCGAACGGCATCATTAGGAGATGTTGTTAGCTCCTCAATTGCTCCAAGAATTATGCATAATCTATCATCTAGTTCTGCTCTGATGATGCCGTCAGCTCGTGATGGCATAGCATCGAGAACCATCTCGCTTACGTCGACCGAACAGCCCGAGAAACAATAAAATATATTTAAATACTGTCTGTATTTTTGCTGAGTAGTACACATTTAAATACACCAGAAATACTACCCATAAATATACACCAATATTAATTCCACAACATCGTAATATTCAACGAAGTTCAAGCAACAATCCCCCTAAAATACAGCGCTAAACCGATTTGTATGTTCCATTATTCAAATGTTTCCAGGTGAAAACCCCTTGGCAATGCAGCGCGGTGATACATCAGCTCTGCGTCCATCAATGCTTCTCCTCTTCGCTTTTATTAGCTGACAATTATTGTGCGCGTAATGATCGCGCAACATCTGATTAAGAACTTTGGAGTTTGTAAATATTGTTCGTATGGAGCTAATGTGATATAGTATTTGGGATATATGTTGAAATTATTGGTATATTTCAAGCTAAGTTTTATTAACGGATAAGTTGTAAGTATGGAATGTATATCGTACATATTCTCTCATAGATCTCATTTTATTCGAGAAAATAAACAAATATCTTTTTCTTTCGTCCGAGATAATTTTACACATGCAAACAAGGACACCGAGAATTTTGTGTAAAGTGGGCAGAGTAGCCTAATTACAATTTTATGACTCGAGCTATTTATATTTTCATAGTCTAAAATTGTTATTCTATATATATATTCAGCACAGTGACCGAAAATTGTTAACTTACTGTAATTAAAAATCATGTTTTTTGGTATTAGGCAACTGTGCGTTTAGCAGCCTCATATATAAAATGGGAATATAATGAAGCAAAACTTCTTGTCTGCTAATCTTAGGCATAGTCTAAGAGCTAGTAGCTTGTTAACTAAGGTAAATAGATAAACAGGAAAGTTAAATTCCCTCACTCCTATTGTTTACCTTAGCTAAGTGGATAAATTTCAGATTGCCAACGGCAGCTGTATCGTGTTTGTGAACGTCCAACGTTTCGAGTTTTAGTTTTGTAATTAAAATTTATTCAGCGTAATACAAACTGCAAGAGACTGCGACTCTTGAATGTATTACCTTAATTATACTTGCTTTACCATCACCGTCATGCTATCTTCAACGTTCAAAAGTTAATGCTCGAACTTGCGAAATATTGTTTATTTGTTTCCTTTGTCTAGAAGTCTTAAAATAAGCATGACTACAGATATTATAAAATCTGAGAAAAGGTATGCTAAATCGATCTACACAAATGATATACAGGAGTAAGATATGGATCCCTTTAGATTTAATAAGATATGATACAAATTACTCCCATTATGTTTAGATAATTATAAAAAAAAAATCTCAAATAAAAGAAAATGAAACGGTTTTGAGTTTTATATATTAAGTTTTTTTAGAAGTACTTACCGTAAAGGTGGTTAAAATAAGGCTAAAATGTTTGTAATAATATTACAATTGTAATTAATGTAAATAATTAAATATATTGTTACAGTCTATGTATGGCAACACTAGAAAAAATTTGTTATATTCATTTGTTTTACAAACAACGATAATTTTTATTACGTCCAAATTCGAGATACATATCTAGAAAGAGGTATAATTTAAATATCTTTTAATTATGAATTATAAAATGATTGATTGTAATTAAAACAAGACATTCACGTTTTGTGTCACGAAAATGTACGTAAATCAAAATACACAAATAAATATAATAGTCACTAAATGTAATATACTAACGATTGTCTTCAATTTCTGTAAAATGTATACATTGTAAATTAATTAACGTTTTAAATAAACACGAGGATATACGTTTAAATGAGCATGTTGTTTCATTTTCGAAATTACTTTTTGTCTCGTTTCAAAGGAACATTTTCACACTACGTTCTCTTTCCAGCCAAGAAAGAAGAATAAGAAGGATAGGAGCTCCCTTTTTTTTCCCTTCTTAAAGTGACCGCGAAACACATATACTATCTTCGACCGTCACTTCTTTTTATCTATTGCAAAAGTGTTTAAATGTAATGTTAAAAAAAACGTTTAAGTGCGTTTAAATACGTATTTATTAAAAAAAGGCATTAAGGTTCTTCATGATCAAAATTTTACTTACTTAGACTACATGATTATGTAAGACCACTTTTTTTTATTTTAGAAAGACTAAAACCCAGAACTTATTATCTACAAAATAAACTTATACATGCTACAACAAAATATTAAAACAATAGTATTTATCTTGTTGCTAGTTTAATTAGGGTTGTAAGGAGGGTAAGGTTAGGGTTGAAAGGGACATTAATATTTTGGCAAATATACACTCTCTTTCACTTCTGTTTTTTTATATCACAGTTTAAACATAAGTAATAGACAAATCACATGTGACTGTATAACAAGAAATTAATATATTTTATATATATTATGTATTAAGTGACAACCCTATTTTGAGAATTTTACGCGCAGTTTAATTTACCGCTCAATTTAAAGACTAAGTGATGTTTTTACTCTTATATTGTCTGTTTTAAACGACACTTTGAATAAACGTGTTTACTCTTAATTTTGTGCTCCGAAAGAGGTTTTCACTTGAAGGAGTTTTGTTTTCGGAAAATTGATGGAAAATTAGTATGCTCCGATACAAAGAACTTGATGCTCGTTGTACTTTGAGAACAGCTAATCGATTATGATATGTAGGACAGAAATTAATTATAATTCACACAGGACCTACTTAAATCATTCGTCAGATTTAAAATGTCTAGGGTTTGAATCTTTGAAAAAAATATTAAATCTTCACTTATTAGAATGTAATATGCATTTTTTTTATGACAGAGGAGAACGGATAAGCATAGCATCTAAACAAGATGCACAGTGTGTTATCATCCACAGGTTAAAACCGAATCGTGATTAAACTTCGCAGCTATTTCATCTGTGATGGTTCATTATCCAGGCGGAACTTTGATATTCCTAATATCCATAATTCCAGAAGTACAAAATGTATCAGAAAAAAAGAGATTGATTAGAAACTTCTTGGAGCCGGTGGGGAGCAAACCCAAGACCCATTGCAACCAACCCGTCAAAAATATATACATTTGAACTCCAATCTAGGCATATTCTACATTGATGCCATTATCACCTCCGTAACTATAAATAGATATAAAATCGTATTTAGGTAGAATATACAATAAAACTTTAAATAAACATTGAGTATTTTTTTTAATAAGGCTGTCGCTGTATCAATTAAAATTAATACATGTATATATGTAGTAATTATATGTATAAAGTAATAAACGATAATTATTTGTTTTTATATATAAGAGCGCGTAAACAGGCAATGAGAATAATTATTTCGTTAAATTAACATACAGCCGAGATGCGCAAATGACTCGCAAAGTAACTTCCCTGGAGGGCGCCATTTTGAAATTATAATTTCGGGTAATCAAGGTAAGTTCGTGTCATTTCCTTGAAGTGAAATATTATACCGTAGCTCTACTAGGTTTTTATTTGTGGACGGACAAGCAAAAGTTTCACACGGTGAAAGGAGAAATGACTCAAAGTATTTAATAAAATGCGCAGACGACCAATTTTCATAGTCCACAGACTGGAACCGGAACGCAGTTACACTTTGCGCATTATCCACTGTAGACTATGGTTTTCCCAAATCTCAAAGAATCGAATGTACCATGACAAGAAAAATCTTACCACAAATAATTCTGGAAACTTGGAAACCGAACCCTACCCTACTACCTAGCTGGTCATGTTACAGTAGGCTAAATTATAGTACAGTATATTATATATAGCACTTAAGGAATAGCAATTTAGTGATTAATCAGAATGGATTTTGCCTAATTGCCATATCTCCTAGCGTTATTGCTTGTACTAATTAAGTTATTCTTATTGTCATGAATTGTTGCTGTATTTCGCTGATTAAATTAGTGAAACAATGAATGTATACTGTCTGTAGTTTACGCGAGTAGTACACATATAAATAAAGCACTTTAACGGTTTAAAACACGATATATTTTATTTTAGTAAGCTCGTTTGAAAATTATTTTTAACTATAGCCCGACGTTTTGGGTGCTTTGCAGCAGCCGTGTTCACGGGGAGACTAAAGATGGAGGATAACTCTGACGTAAAAAAATTGCTACGCTAGCGCCATCTGTTCCGTCGCAGTTGGTATTTGGCGAAACTGGCCGGAATAGTTAATGTATGTTTCAAAAAACTTGTGTATATTCCACGAAAGTGATTTCGATTCCCACCTTGTCAATATTCATCCATAAAAATGTATTAAAAAAGTGTAAAACAAGTTAGTTAGTCTTCGTCTGTAAAATCTGTACATGGGGGGTTTAAAAATATTGAAATTTCATCCAGATCATAAAATCCTAGACATTCTAGAGATTTGTCATAAAAATTAAAAATTATTACAATATCTAGGTTTATCTTACTACCCAAAACATTTAAAGTATTCAGGATGCTTTTTTATTTTCCTATTTTGGCTTTGGATATTCACAGACTGAAATTGAAACGCGATTAAACTTGATGGATTTTTCACCGTCACAGTGTTGACGGTGGTTCGTGACTTCGATATTCTTACCACTCATTTAATATCCAGCCTTACTGCCAAGATTGCGTCAAAAAAAAGCTTTTCTGAATCATAATGGACCATGGATTGGTTGGAAATTGATTTAAAAAATTTGCACCCAGTAGAGATCAAACCTGCGTCCCGTTAAATTAGACATACATTGCTACCAGTAGTTCTGGGACATACCTTATATACAGGTGTACCACATTTGCAATAATTAATAAAGTAAACCTTTTAAATAAAACACTTTAACGGTTTAAAACGCGATGTATTAGTCAAACTTATTCCGAAACGTCAGGGCGAAGTTAAAAATCATTTCCAAATAAGTTTAACTTATACATCGCGTTTTAAACCGTTAAAGTGTTTTATTTAAATGTGTACTACTCGTAAACTATAGACAGTATTTAAAGTAAACCTTTTATAAAACACTAAAATTTTGTCATTGTACCTAAATAAGCCTTGTTACTCTCGGAAATAAGATCTTTGCGATGAGTCGAAGACGGATATCCATCCAATATCTACGTATGAATAATAAAAAATCAATTTCCGCCACCCTAAACTTAATACAAGTTTTCTGTAAGATTGTGATTATTTCCATATTTGTATCTGAAATCCAAATGAGATTCTTGTAAAGCTGTCTCGGAGTTTTGTTATGAAATTCGATACGGTTTGTATTCAAACCGTGTTTGTGCATGTTACTGTCTATTTTGCATTGGGCACAAGTTATAACAAGTAGAAGTAGTCAGTAGTGCTAGTATTCTTCAGTAATAGTTATTACCGCCTTTATTGCATTTGACCGCCTCTGTAGCTGTAGGTTATACGTGTTTCCTAGCATTATGTTAAGCGCGAGAGGACCTGAGTTAGAATCCCGTGGAAACAATAGAATTTTTCGCTGATGGACTACTTGCCTGTTAATAAAATAGACCAGTGAAACGGACACAGAAATGTACATCTACAACAATAAAGTGATAGACAAAATGACATATAATTAAAGTTTTCTTTACTATGCATGTAGGTAAAGAACTCTTGCGCTTAGTTGTGCATCTGTCATTAAATTTCTGTAAAAATATTTTAGATATAGATAACTCTTGCAGGAAATATAAGTTAATACAGACGAACAAACACACAGACAAAACTGAGTACTACTTTCCGTACGGTACTGTACGGTTCCGTTTTATCCAATGTACAGAACCCTAAAACAAGATTGTTCTCATATTTTCTTTTTACTATGAAGCAACTATTCATTTAAAAATCGAAAATAAATTTACGATGCCGGTTCAAGTCCTGCCCGAGTCAAAATTTTGTTTTAATTTATTTTCCATTTTTAAATTATATAGCCATCGTGTGCAATAACATGTGAAAAATACAAAAGTTTTCAAACATGAAAGCAATCATAAAGACTACAGTAATATAAAACTGGTTTTAAATGTTTTATACTACAGCGGTCTTTTAAAATATATAATTCCCATAGAAACGGTGCGAACATGTCACTCTTAGTGGTTAAGTTGAATATACGAGAATACTTAAGCCGTCCCGTTTTCAGCCTAGCTTAGTTCTATAGTGTAACTTACAGCGAAATAGAAGGAAAATGGTGTGAAATGTTTTAAATGCTGGTTAAATCTGTTCTACGTTTAAAAGACAATTAAATAAAGCGTTGAAAGCTAATAGTCTTGGGTTTGTATCTAGGGAAAATAATTGTTCTATAAAAGGTACAGCGAGAGAGAAAGCAAACGGACACAGGTCTGTGTCTTTATTCTTTACAGAATTTAGTTAATTTCCGATGGTTTAAGCGAATAAGTGATGTGTAAATTGTAAAATAGACGTTTTTTATCACTCGGTGAGTGATGTCATAAAGAAAATAATGTATGACATTTCATACGATGTAAAAGATATGTTAAAAATATTTTTGTTTAATAAATAAACAAATAAAAAAATATATATATGATCATGGTGTAACTTGATTCATTTAAAAAAAGTTAACTGGCCACTTGAAAAATATAAACACTCTTTATAATAGGTATATGAAATATATTTTTCTTTTTTTACTGCGATATATATCCAAATCAATTGTATAAACTGTCAATGTGAATATTGATAGTCTCTTAAACTTCAATTTGCATATTTAATAATTCCGATTATTTATGACTCAGAAGAATGGGTGGTGATACGTATAAAGTGCCGGAATACACCAAGTTTAGTAGTATAAAAGGAATACCACAATTGGAACAGCTTGAGAAGGAATTAGCTAAGAAGGGACTCAAGGATCCATGGATAAGGTACAAATGTATATTAATATCCATTTAAGGGGGGTTTAACAATTAGATAAGTTAAAAAAAACTGTCTGTAGTTTACACGTGTAGTACACGTTTAAATAATGGGGTGTGGTGGTGTAGTTTGACACACACATCCAAAGCGTAAAACAATTTAAAACGCTATTACTAGTAGTTGAAAATTTTTTAGCTACGATTCATTGCGATGTTTCGTCTTTTGCATCAGACATGGGCACGTCAACTAAAACAGCTTCATATTAAGACTAATGAATTACTTAATTTCAAATTAAATAATGTCAATAAAAAAAAAATAAATTAAAATTTACATTAACATTTTAAAACTTAAATATATAGTGCATTTATTTTTAATTTCATTTAAGTACAGCCCGACGTTTCTGATGTTTTTCAGCAGCCGTGGCTAGCACGAGGGTACTATAATATTATTACAATCAAAATTTTAATTTATTATATAATAATAATAATAATAAAAACATAATTTATAGGAATGAAGTGTGGCGGTACCATCCCGGCTTTGGAACGAAGCTGCTGAGAGCTCGTAAACTGTTCTTTCGTGGTTTTCCACTGGGTTTGCTCCTTACGGTAGTCACGGTGGCAGTTGAAAAAGCCATTGGTGGCGATGATCACCACGACCACGCAGAACACTAGTCTCAAATAAACATGTAAAAGTTTATAGTGATTTGACTTGTTATTTTTCGTCTGACTTCATTTGTTGAATGCGTAAAGCACGAAAGATTGGATAGACCATTTATTGACGAAGGTTATAAATCATCAGTTTTAGGGATTTCGTTGCGTACCTTATAAATATGTCCACAACAGTATGTATTTGTCTATCTTTTTAGATTAAATTACAAGAACCGTTTATATAGTAAACAGATTTAGCCGAAATAAATGTACACAATAAAACATTTTTTTATTAGTAGGGTTTTATTGACCGCAACAAATATAATAGACAGAATTATGTTCAAATTATTGAAGCGGCTAGCGCGTTATAGATCAGCCCCCGAATATTCTAGTTTACTTCAGCAGACATATTTTGCCAATATTACTCGTAATTTTTCAGAAACAAACGTGACATGCGGTTTCCATGTACATTTGTTGCACTCGAGCATTATGTATTTTTTAGAATGATTGTGGAATTTTGCACGACGTGGTTTAACTTACACTACAGTAGTACTAATGTTGTACAAGGTATGTATTCATTTATTATTATTTTTATTTATTAAGGATGTTTATTATAAAATAATTAACTCGCACGACAATTTATATTGTATGCTACCGTCTAATTTTCGTTTTATGTCCTGACGCCACTAAAATATTTTTTATCCATTATAAAATAGTTTCTCTTCAAAAATATCTACCTCCTCGCTCATGGCAAACGAAACTTACGAACTTAATACTTAGTACCATCATATAAGTATCAAATAAAGTCTGTGTTAAAAAAAATGACTCAACGTCAGGAATAAGTCTAGCCGAGCGAAATTTTATTCAAATTGTTACAATCTTGAAATTTCATCAATCACTACAAAGCATTGGCGCTTGGCTCTCGCCTCTATTCTTTGGCGCGCAGAATTGAGTATTGAACGCCGCCGTAATGAGGTCTGACTCCATTGAAACAGACTTCGGGAATCGAGATCCATCTAGCGTAATAGACAGCTATCACACAAACACAATTGAAGGCTTTGTTTCGCGCTTTCTCAGTAGAATGGGGGCTTATTATAATTTTGCGGAGTCTTCTTGTTACCTTCGGTTGAACGAGTAAATTATTATTAATGAAACACCCAATTGCTTTTGAAAACGCCCTTCTTTGTATAAATGTATAGACTTAATTAATAACCCACCGCTTCTATAGGTTACTTATAGAACGGATTGTCTAGTATTGCTCTTTTGCGAGCATAGTGTTGTCGAGAGCTCGTCAAATGTTGAAAGGGTTAAAATAAAATACTTTTAACGGTTTAAAACGCAAAATCTGCTGCAAAGTAGCCAATAGTTAAAAGACCGTGAAACTAAAAGTAAAAATTAAAAAAATTGAAGAAAAGTTGAAAAAAACCGTTTAAAATGTTTTATTTCAATGTGTATCACTCGCTTAAAGTACTTTGTTGAAAGTGTTCCTTATAAATATTTTTACCACGTCAAGAATCTTTATTAATATCACTACAAAATATAGTTTTTACTAAGTGTTACCGCAAAATTTTGCGGACGCAAATATCATAGTAACGTTTCATTATATCTAGAATTTGAACCCGAGACCGAATTTCCACGTCACAATGCGTACGTTAACTCAAAGTAATCTCGTTTAAAGCAATAAACGTGACAAACAGCTTGGTCTACAATGCATCAACTTTCTTAACGTTAATTGTATTCAAATGATTCAAAATACACAAACAAATGCACTACGCATGCTGCTCTAAGTGATTTTTATCCCCAGCTAAAAGTACAGCTAAATTCATATTTCAGCTGAAACAATGCTGAAAATATCAGCAGCCATAGTTCCATTCACATGGAGATTACAGTGAGAAGCCATTGTAGCGTTATGTGGAATTAGTTACTGAGAATGGCTTTGTATGTGAAGTTTACAGCTTTCAAAGACATGCATTGTTATTAAATGAGTGAAAACGGGAACAGTCTTTGCACGGAACTTTGGATTTTCACCGGGAACGCTTTGTCAACGAATCCGTTGATTGTGACGAGTCAGTGAAGCCGTAAAGGTGCTTCAAGCTCTCGATATATCGGACTACCCTCGTTTAAAAAAATTAACGTTTTTCCCTTATTATCGCATAAATACCTATTTGGATTTCATAAAAAAATACGACACGAGCGGGAATCGAACGAGCACCTGCTCTAAACAATTGATAACTTACAATTAGTTCATAGTTAATGCACGGAACGCTGTGGATGCCGCTTCAAAGCTCGCTCGTTTCTTTTTATTTCAGTCTAAATAAATGTTTTATTATACAGACTACTTTTTAGATGTAAAGTAAGTGTCGAACATGGAAATTTATTTTAAATAATCTTAAAACGATATACGTTATACGTTAAATACTGTCTATAGTTTACGCGAGTAGTACACATTTAAATAAAGCTTTAACTTTAACGGTTTAAAACGAGCTTAACTTATTTGGAAATGATTTTTAACTTCGGCCCGACGTTTCGAATCCTTTGCAGCAGTCGTGGTCACGTGGTCCCGCGTTAAGCTGATATATCGCGTTTTAAACCGTTAAAGTGTTTAAATAAAACACTTTAACGTTTTAAAACGCGATATATTAGTTAAACTTATTTGAAAATGATTTTTAACTTCGGCCCGACGTTTCGGATGCTTTGCAGCAGCCGTGGTCACGAAGAGACCAAAATTGTTACATAAAAAAACTAAATATATTTTGCGTTTCAAACCGTTAGTGTATATATATATATAAAGCTTAATCTGAATAAAGCATTTTCAATGGTTTAAAACGCAAAATATAATTTTTTTTTTTATGTAACAAATTTTTTATTGTCTAAAGTCTAAAAGTAACTACAAACTCTACAGTTAAACGAACATAAACGTACGTAACAAAACATAAACGGGGAGACTCCCCGTGACCACGGGTATCGGCTTTTGAGATATATTTTAGTAATAGACAGACAAACAGATATCGAATACGGTCTAGTTTTATATTGGATTTTATATTGGATCCCTAAAAACATAAAGCTTGAAGATTACTCAGCAGTTATATATTAAAACAAATTGTAATTAAGTTAAACTAATACTTATCGTGTTTTAAACCGTTAGAAGTAATTTATTTAAACGTAGAGAATTAATTAATACACAAGTCTAAGGTTGAAATTACATTGCGCAAGAGGTGCAAGTATAAAAAAAATCGACGAAAGCGTGTAGGTCTTGGTAGCTGAATTGATTGGAGCAATAGCACGGAACACGTATGCCGGTTCAAGTCCCGACCGTGACGTATTTTTTTTTTCACACAAATCGATTAATAATTCGAAGAAAATCAATTTAAAAAAATTAACATTAAGTACTTACCTACTATTTTGATACTTATTGAAATGAAAAAGAGAACCTTTAAGACTAATAAGAAGACAAGAAGAGACTTAAAATTCCATCGGGGATTACACTAAGGCAGTAAAAGTAAAGGCTAGTAAATAAATTAGAAAATTCCATCCAGATGGGACTACGAGCAAAGCCTTCTTAAAGAACAATATCACAAAGAGACGGACAATTGGTCGCCGAGTGCAATAAGAAAATACTGTTCTAGATACCGACTGTACTGAATGCTCCCTTTTTCAACGTTGAAGCGGTATTAAATAAAATTACCGCAAAAATAATATTAGCTTTTAAACATATTCATTAATTTTATACATATAGTAAGGTTTCGTTCCTTACATAAAAAAATCGTCGTGATTTTTTTATTGGAGAAGAGACAAGCATGTAGTTTACACTTGGAAGCATAGCGGTGCCAGCGACTCCGTCCGCGTATTTTGGGCATCAAAATAGGTTGTGCAAACCTCCTCTTTGTATTTATAAATAAAAGCTGTTACCCACGACATCGGTCACGTCATGTGAGGAATGGAATATAAGTGTAAATAGTGTGTCGTTATTTCGTTAACCTAACCTACGTTATAACACAATTTTGATCGAAAGTACTTCATGATAGAAGTACGTTTCTCAGCTCAGCTAGTGAATTTATTAAGTAATCAATTCTCGTCTAAGACCTATCAATGATATTTACTATTATCACGGGTTTTTTAATAACGCGTCTTATCAGAATTGCGCAGATAGATAAAAACCAATTATGTCAAGGAGCGACGATTTTAATTAAATTGAAGTTTACGCAACAAGTTATCTACGTTTTCGTAATTTCACGGTTAATGTCTCGATCGATTTATGATACGGTAAGTGGCATTGATCCTTTGTATCTTTTACCTTGGACTCGAGAAGAAGGACCACTACTATAGCATCAAGAAATACTATGTATGAATCTTTCGACTCTGTAGATAACAATGACGAACAGCTCAACTAATGAAGTTAAAAATCGCTTTTAGATTGAAAGACAATTAAGGACACGGGAGGAACTAGAACCGGCATCCACAATGTTCCGTGCTGTTGTAATAACCAATTGAGCTACCCGTCACCATCTTTACAACACGTGAAAAATATTAAAGTTTTCAATCTTAACTAATTGCTTGTCTACAAGCAGTTAGTATAATTGCAGACATCGCTTAATTAGCAATTATTTCCCTGAAAGAAATGAAAGAGCCGTGGTCACGGGAGGACTGAAGATAGAGGGTGTCATAGTCAAATCTGCTACGCGCCATCTGTTACCTCACAGTTGGTATTTGAAGAAACTAGCTGGGTCCTTACAGAACTGACTCACGGTGTCCTCTCATTTCTTGGTATGCCGTTTTTTATTATATATATTTTTGATATAGGATCACATATTTGACCGTTAGATCGTGTGATAGACAATATTTACTATGTAATTTTTAATACATTAAATATAAATTAATTAGAAAAAAAATGGACTTGGACAGGACTTGAACCGGCACGGTCAGCGTTCCGAGCTGTTGCTCTAAGCAATTAGTTAATAAATACGCCTGCGGCCATAATAGCAGTCGTAGTGAGATATATTATTATCTGGAGACATCGCGATATCCACTATTTACAAACACTCTAATTAAAGCTAGGTAAGTGATAAAAGATAAGAGATCAAAAATGGTGTGAAGGTGAACTCTATCGTCCATTAGATAATAGCCTTTTGTAACTCCTTGGTATATAAGATACTCTAATTAAAACTATGTCTAGTGTTTTGGAGTTACTAAAATGTTGTTGTTGTTTTGCCTCTTGGTATTCGTTGGGTGTTCAGGTGAGTTCGGTTTAGTCTAAACTAAAAGTTTTTTTAATACGTTATGACGCTTTACATCTATAATAGAGTATGAAAATTGGCTAATTGTTTATGGTAAGCAAACGCACTTTAATAAAAAAAAGAAATGAATTTGTTTTAAATAGAACGTACGCGTTCAAAATGATTGCACTAGTTTTTATCATGTAAAACCAACGCCAATGAAAAATTTGAATACAATATAGAAAAGAATCAATACAAAAAGATACAACCCGGTTTCGAATTGACTACAATAGAATTTATCTTTGCGCTATAGCTCTATGTTCATCTCGCTAACAAGCAAATTAATTTAAATATACATAATTAAATATAAAACAATTTTAACTGTAATACACGAACTAAAAAATTGAAATTATATTTTATATAATATTACTACGGCCCAATTCTTCGTATGCTTTGCAGAAACCGCGGTCACGGGGAACTGAAAATGAAACGATTATATGAAATAATTTAAGTAATATATTTCGTGTAAACCGTTAAAACTGTTTTATTTGAAAGTAACTCGCATAAACTACAGAAAATATTTACTTTTTTTTAAATTATTTATAATTGCTATTTGTCTCCTAGTTTCAACTCCAGCGCAAGATACACGAATAGTGGGCGGCGAGGATGTTGACATAATGGATGTACCTTATCAGGTGTCTTTGACATTTCGAGGCAGACACACTTGTGGGGGGGCAATTGTCGCTAATGATTTAGTAGTAACTGCTGCACATTGCCTTATTGGGTAAATATAATTTTATTAACTTTCATATGAGGCTGCTAGAGGCAAAGTGGCCTAATTACAAAAAACATGATTTTCAATAAGGAGGATAATAACAATGCGCAATTAACATAAGCAACAATGAAGTAAACTATTATTTGTAAAAAATATATTAAATACTGTCTATAGTTTACGCGAGTAGTACACATTTAAATAAAACACTTTAACGGTTTAAAACGCGATATATTAGTTAAACTTATTTGAAAATGATTTTTCGACGACGATGAGACGGGGAGTCTCTTCGTGACCACGGCTGCTGCAAAGCACCGAGACGTCGGGCCGAAGTTAATCAAATCATTTTCAAATAAGTTTAACTAATATATCGCGTTTTAAACCGTTAAAGTGTTTTATTAAAAAAATATATATATATTAAGTTACAGTAAGGCTAGGTCATTTTTCATTTCTGTCTGGATCTCGAAACACACACTTTTTTGTTATTTATATTTAAAATATCATATTTTTCCGACAGGCACTTAATTTTTCTTATAATAATATCAAGTTATCCAGGCTCTACAGTTAATTAAATGTTTCAAAATTCCTTTTTATCACAGTTTGTTTTAATATTAATTTTATAAAGAGTTAAAGAATTCTCTTTCTTATTTATGTTTAAGGAACAACTTTATATTTACTTGTAACTAGAAAGGTTAAGTCCTTAACAATGATAATAATTATTAATTTTAGTAGCTTTTTTTTTTTACTTACAGTGAAATAATATAAATGTACATTTTTATAAAATATGTATATATTTCGATAAAAGAAAAGCTTTAAAACAATATTGGAAAGTTTAATCTTAATAAATATTGTTTGAAAATAGAATGAAATCCCGTATACCCCCGTGGGGCATGGGGCGAACACATCTGTATGCCCGTTTTACTCACCGGTATTATTTACAGGCAATTTAGTTGATCAGACTTCTGCGTGTGGCCGACTTGAACCCAGGACCTCTTTCGCTTAACATAATGCTAGACAACACGTTTACCCATCATAGCCTAAAGCCTTCCTCGATAAATGGTCTATCGCACATACCGTTACGATACAAACCAGTAGCTCCAGGGATTAGCGCGCTTAAACATACAAACACTTCAGCTTAATATTTGTCAAGATTAAAAGTTACTCAATTACAAAAAAAAATTGCAGTTCCTATCCAAGGGACCTGAAAGTCCGAGTGGGTTCATCGTCAAGTCGAACTGGTGGAGAGTTGTACCAAGTTGGGGACTATGTATATCACTCTAATTTCACCTATAACAAAATGGATTGCGATGTCGGTCTTCTATGGTTGGAGAAACCCCTGGAGTTCAATGAACGGGTCGCTCCTATAGATTTGTATGAGCAGGGTCTAGAAATCGATGATGGCGAGGAAACTATTATTACTGGATGGGGTAATTTAAGGGTAAGTTGACGGGTTCGTTGAGGAAATGGTAGAAAAGTTAAGGTTCAAGGGATCGTGGCTTTGATCCCCACTTTAAATCTGAATATTAAATTGTTGGTAGGAATATCGCAATTCCGTCCGGGTCACGACCTACCGTCCAAAGACGAAAAAAACCGTGAAGTTTTATCGCGTTTTGGTTGTAGTCTGTGGATTTGCGAATATCCAAAGCCAAAATAGGTTGACCTTCAATACTGTCTGTAGTTTACGCGAGTAGTACACATTAAAATAAAACAATTTAACGGTTTAAAACGCGATATATTTTAATTAAACTAGAAATATACAGTGGCGGACATTTTTTAATTCGTTCGAAACGGTTTAAGAGGTTAAATTTTTTTTAGCTGCTATTGATCGCAGCGTGATGTTATATAGCCTAAAGCCTTGCTCAAATAGTCTATCTAGCACAAAAATAAATCGAACAAGTAGTTCCCGAGATTAGTACATTAAAATAAACGTCATCTTTATCATATTACTAAAGATATTATATCAGTAAATTAATAAAAAACTCGATTTAATTTCAATCTGGTAAGCCTTAAAATTTCTTTATAGGAAGGCGGTGGGTCTCCCAAGACACTGCAAATAGTATCAGTGCCAAAAGTGAACCAAGACGCTTGTGGAAACGCGTATTCACCACTCTACAAGATCACACCATCTATGCTTTGCGCAGGATTGCCGGAGGGAGGGAAAGATGCTTGTCAGGTAATTTTGACATCAAATGCATAAGCAACTTAAAAAATACGTCATTTATACTTTATAAGTGAAAAAGAATTTAGCTTTATGTTCTATACTTCTAATTACTTTACCGTCTATTAATTTTAGATGTTTGTAATTTACTAGTTTACAATGACAGCTCGTAAAAGTAATGCAAGCTGTTCGCTGTAATTTATAGCAAATACAAAAATTGTTTTGGATTTTGTTTTGCCGTTTTGTTTTACAGAAAAATTATGAAATAAAAGTAGCGAAAAAGGGTAAAACTAATTTTTAATATTTAAATAAAACACTTTAACGGTTTAAAACGCGATATATTAGTTTAACTTATTTGAAAATGATTTTTAACTTCGGCCCGACGTTTCGGATGCTTTGCAGCAGCCGTGGTCACGGGGATACTAAAGATAGAGGATGTTTCTGACGCCAAATAAGTTTAACTAATATATCGCGTTTTAAACCGTTAAAGTGTTTTATTTAAATGTGTACTACTCGCGTAAACTATAGACAGTATTTAAATTGTTAATATCTTATAACATACATCACAATACTTTAATGAAGAAAAGTAGTTCTATTAGAGCTACGAACTGAAAAAGTAGGTAGTAATAAAAAATACGTGAGGTTCGCTTTCAGGATTAAAATATTAAATTCCTTTTAGCGGACTTTTCTTTGACGTCACTGCCGTCCACCTCAATTACAAAATAATTATGTTGTGGCTGGAATTTTTAAATCTAAATCGAGAGTTATTTTTGCAAAAAATATAAGTGAATATAAATTTAGTTTTAAAGGTGGGTTGTGGTGGATGTGCTACAACAGCTTTTAAATAACATATACAACATAATATCGGGACCTTAATATTAAAATAAAAAGATTCATTTGTATTTATTTTCTTCGGAAAATAATATTTACCTAAATGTCTCTTTAGCTAAATCCCCGATTGATGTCACTTTTCAAGCTAAAAGCAATTTGATATCATCAATTTTCCATTAAACTCAAAGTTCCAAATATTTTAAAATGTGTATATGTTTATTTAATATTTTGCCATGATTTTCGTGTCGATTTTTTAAAGATTATGTTGTTTTTAAGGGTGACAGTGGCGGTCCTTTGGTCCATGATGGAAAATTGGCTGGGGTGGTATCCTGGGGTCTCGGGTGTGCAAGACCAAAGTACCCAGGCGTGTATGCCAAGGTGTCTGCTTTAAGAAGCTGGCTCGATGACAACGCTACATACTTAAGACTGAAACATATTTTTAGAGGGCCCTTAATGTAATATAAATTTTGTAAATTTTCTATATATTAAAAAATAAACATTTTTTTTTGTGTTTCGTATATACTCATCCCGTTTTTCAGAAGTTTAAATGAACTATTGTTTAACATTTGTAAAGAAAGTAAATGCCGAAAGGGATTATTGGTGCAAGCCCCCTATTTTCGACTACGTAAATAATACGCAACTTCACTATCTTATAAAATAACACATATATAAAATAATATATCGCGTTTTAAACCGTTAAAGTGTTTTATTTAAATGTGTACTACTCGCGTAACTACAGTATTTAAAATAACACATTGTTACTAAAAGGACAAAATATTATTTTAGAATATGCACCCATACATTAGACAACAATTTCCACAAGACATACCAATTGTTTTTTTTAATTTATTAATTAAAAATATTACGAGATGGGAGGGACTTGAACTGGCGTTCACAGTTTTCCAGCGTTACAGCGTTCGATTTGTAATTTAAATAATGCTATGTGCAAAATTTGCAAAATATGTGCAAAAACAGATGAAAAATAGGAAACTTTTCAGTCATAGGGACCTATCACTTTCCTATATGTACATACGCTTAATGGTTAAAGGTCAATTCAAAACAAGGCTTTACACTTCAGGAGTAAAATATTTCGGTAGAGCAAGGATGGACGAAGGCATCTGTGAATTGCGTCAATGAAACAGACAGGGGAAACAATTTACGAGTAAATTATAGTTTGCTTAACAACGGAATTAAGGGGATGACTTCTAAAGCGTTTCCACATTTTCTTCCAAGATTTTCTGGTACAAACAAGCATTGTGGCATGTTTATTGGCTTTTATTAAGCCATGGTGACCAATGATAACATACGAAAATGGCTGTTTAGTGTAATGGTTGGGGCCATTAGATTTACCTCAAAATATGAGGGGTAGATAAATATTTTTTGACGAGGTCATTGGTGCAACGGTAACAATGAACGGTTAACAATCAATGGGTCGTGGTCTGTCGATTTTTCTAATTATTAAGATATTTAAATAAAACACTTTAACGGTTCAAAATGCAATATATATGTTAAACTTATTTGAAAATGATTTTTAACTTCGGCCCGACGTTTCGGATGCTTTGCAGCAGCCGTGTTCACGGGGAGACGAGGTCATTTTCAAATAAGTTTAACTAATACATCGCGTTTTAAACCGTTAAAGTATTTTATTTAAATGTGTACTACTCGCGTAAACTATAGACAGTGTTATTAAGGTAATTTCCGAAATTTTATCTGAGTCACGTCGACAGCGTACCTTGTTTAGGTGCTTGCTAGGGTATTGCACCTATCATCAAGTGAATTCCAAGCTTATCTATTCTATCACGTACAATAATATAAATTTTAAATAAAGCCTGACTAAAACAATCGACCTTTTAAAACCTACGACTCCAACGACCTTCTGTTTAAAGCCTAATTTTAGAGTCTTAGGTCAACGTCTTGGTCATAATATTTACTTACATTATTTAAATAGACGTAAATTTCAACTAATATTTTGAGTTAAGAACATAAATTACTTGATATAATGGTTTTTATAAATCTTACCTATTATTTGGTATCAAATGTGTAAGACTTTTTGATTAATTTGAGCTGTGACCAAAAAATCTAACTTATTCAAACACTACTTCCGGAAAAACTCCTACTCCAAGAAAAATATACAATGTTCAATATACTTATATTTTAAATAACGGACTAACTTTTAGTCGCGGTTTTAATGGCCCCAATGCATAGGATATGTTTCGGTAGCGAAACGGACAGTAATCTTTATTTATTGTTTCGCTTGCGAACTGAGATTGTTTCCTCCTATCAGGAAACGACTGTCGAGTTGCATTCAACTACCTTTGGACATTTAGCAGCCATATTGGAAAGCCATTCTGACTAAATGGTAATCGTTAAATAGTGAGCTTTCGCGTCTTCTCTGGCAAAATGGGTTCGTTTAGATAGAGTTAATTTTATCTACAATATTATATCATATATTTATAGTAGTGTTTCATAAAAACACATTGCTCAAACAAAATCTACATTGTGAAATTAGTTCATGTTAAAAAGTGATCTCTATTTCCCGGGTTTTTGTCCAATTTCTGTGTCCCTGTCACCGATCGGTTTATTTACAGCTTAATAATTAATCAGACTTAGTCCACAGAAGACCCGATCGGAAAAAAATTTTGTTTTCCCCGGGTCATCCCAGCATCGCTAGTACAGAAGCGGTCTATTTGTATTGTATTGACTCGACGAAAAACTGCGCACCAGGTTTGTTCAATTGAAAGCAACGCCAGTAGACTGTGGATTCGAGTCCCAGCTGTTCCATAATTTTAATTCTTTTAAGTACAAGAAGATCTTTACAATATATTTATTCGTCTAAGCCAGGTGGAATAGCGTTATTACTCCCTTGCTTTGTAAGAATAAATAAACTGTAGCAGCAAAAAGACTTGTACAAATATTATACATACAATATAAAAAAGGATAAAAACAAAAGAAAAAGAAATGTAAATAAAGACTTGTTGTGGTAATACAAACAATCAAGACAGCAAAATAGCTAAATCCAATTGTAGAAATAATTTGGAACAAAATGCGTTGCACAGTATTGCCGAAATATTCGTTTCAGGGTTGAATCTCGACAAATCAACACTCTCAAACGGATCAACTATTTGACGTGATTAATTCGTCACAAGAAGAAAGAGAGGATGCCAGAGAGACAACGTATATAAAAAGCACAACGTTTGTAGTAGTAATAGTAGTGTTCGTTTCGATATCAATTCCAGGCTTAAGACACCCAGTCTCCTAGTATCTGGTAATGCGTCGTTGGCACAGCTGTGTGCTCGCTGTGTCTTCCTCAGATGTTAAAGCAGAACTTCGTATGTTAGTTTGAAGTATAATTCGGTTATATCGTGTTAAAACAAATAACAATATGCTGGTCGTGGATTTGACCCAGTTGGGTTATTAATGGAATATAGATAATAATGACTTTGTCGTTTTTTGTTATTGTTGTTTGTTTTTTATAATTAATGTATATGTATAATTATTATTGTATTATATATTATAAACCAGGTATATAATATATTAGTATATACTAGTTATATGTATATGTTAGCAAATAAACTTTGCATTAAACTAAAGGTCTACGTATAGTATTCGCGTATACTCTGTAGTATTGTCTGTACAACGGTAGTTTAAGTTTTTTTGATTTTAAAATGTTCAAAATTCTAATTTAGGCACGCCTTAGTTGTACAGTGTCTCAAAATTGTTTTCTCAATTTTCAACTTCAATTTACAATACAAATATCACAAACACATCCATGAAGTTGTAAATTACGCATTATTTACGAGAAATTACAATAAACTAGAAATGTACACTACCTATTCAAATTGTGCCTTAGTTAGACAGTAATAATAAATAAACACAAACTTTGAAAATACCGCCAGTCCAATCCAGAGCAATCTACACGCAATTTTCGTCAGATGTAAACAATTGGCTAAACAATTTCGGTTTCACCTCGTCCCACGTCCCAAGTTTCGTGTAAAATGGTAGTGATTTACAATTTACTTTCCTCATGGCCATGAAATAAGCTTCAGTCTAGCTTCTACAGAAAAATTACAACGCTTTGTTACGTCCATAACGTTCCTGGCCACTTTAAGAACAATGAAGACATAAAAAAATTTCGTCTCGGGCAGGACTTGAACGGGCATCGTCAACGTTCCGTGCTGTTGCTCTACCAATTGAGCTACCGAGTCCTTACACCTCATCGTCGAGTTTTTTCAATTTATTTTCGATCTTTAAATTATATAGTGCCTTCATGTGCAATAACATGTGAAAAGTATTAATGTTTTCAAACGATATATAGTTGTTTACAATTAAATTTTAGAGAAGGGAAAAGAAGAAGCTTAGCTAAAATTTTACTTTCTCTGAATTAACAGGTATTTTGCGACAGTCTCGTTAGTCTAATGGTAGAAATGTATAGCTAATAATCAGCGAGTCGTGGGGTCTAAGATGTTTCTAAATTTTTTATTTAAATTTTTTCCGAAACTTTGTCACGAACCACTGTACACAGATGAATAAGCCGTTAAATTTTGTCTGTCAATTTCCGAACACTTAAAGCCAAAATAGGTCGGCGTCGCGTCTTGTTTAGATGTTCCATCGTGTGAACCCCAAGCTTATCTATCCTCCTCTATATTAAAAAAAAAGAATAAAATAAATATATAAAAACTAGCTGTGTCAGCGACTTTGTCCGCGTAGAACAGTTATTTGGAGCATCCAAATTCGTTTTTGCAAACCCCTTCATCTTTATAAACTTTTCCCCGTTTTGTTCACGATTCCCACTGTATCTTCGCTTTTATTAGTCACAGCGCGATGTTATAGCTTATAGCCTTCGTCAATAAATGCTCTAACCAACACAAAAGATTTTTTTCCATTCTAACCCGTAGTTCCTGAGATTAGCGCGCTCAAACAAACCAACAAACAAACTTTTCAGCTCTATACATTACTATAGAAAGTACATTATTGTAAAAGACTAGATATGTCAACTATATGAATGGATGAAATTAAAGGATTCGTTTGATGTCTTGTGTCCGTTTTACAAAGTAAAAACATTTTTTTTATCGAGCCTTATTATAATCGTAGGCGGTATTTGTTCATTTTAACCTGTTCGGTTAGCCGGTCGGACTGAAAATCTCAACGGAATTTAAAAAACCCCGTTTTTCATGACCACAAACTGCGTTTTTGCGTTGACATTCTCTTCAGGCTTTGACAGAAATTGGCCCCGACAAAATGCGAGTGATAATTTCGTTAGCTCGTGACTTGACTGACAACGCCGCGGTTTTAATATCTCTACCATTGTTTGAGAGCCCCTGGATTTGATTGTACAAAGAATTTTATGTTGATTTGTTTTGTTTATTTTGCAAAATTGAATGGGTTTCCTTATAGCTAGTTAACGTCTCTCGTAGAATAAAGAGTGTTTTATATCCTAGGTTTTATCTATACTCATATAT